GCATAACTATAGCAGGAGAAAGAAGGCTTGAAGCTAAAGAAACAGGACTCCAAGTAGGCCCTGACGCTCACCCTCTGTATATATTCATAAGGAGCTTGTGAGAACACAAGACTCTGCTGAACACATTAATACAATTTATTATCACAATCCTCAAAACACCCCATAATATCTTGAATGAGCTGAATTTTTGAAGCCCAGAATGGTTTCTGTAGCTCAAAGTTTGTGGGTGGAGATAGGTGGTGAAGCAGACACATATTAACTGTGTGTACAAGCAGCTGAACTGCAAGGTAGACCTCACAAAGCAACAAGTACAAGAATGTGTGTGCGTGTGTGTGTGTGTGTGTCTCTCGTTAATGATTGCATCCTAAACAGCTGTAAGATCAAAGCCATGAACTGACCTATTGTTTGAATGGAGAAGCTGCTGAACTGCAGTGAATTTAGGGTTCTGAACTTCTTCACATAGCACGATTTCCTTAAGTCCCAGAATGAAAATAAGAACATCGTACAAATCCTCCGCCCTTCATGAACACAATGATGTGTTTTTCATGTCTGTACTCCGAAAAATGTGGCCACAACAGCGAGTTAAAAAAGTCTGAGCCTGAGTGACGATCAGGATTTTCTTGGAGAAAAAATACATTAGAGCCAATGGGGAGAGATTTCCGCCTATTTGGACAGTTGGTCACCTGCTGGCCAAGGGGTAAGATTTAATGATTTGAAACCTCTTTTGTGAGAAGCAGGACACATATACCTCCATTTTGATGTATTTTTTATGGCTGTGGAGTGAGATTTGTGGGCGTGGGAGCGATATATTCGAGCGAGGTTCTGTCGATCAGAGAGGAGGTCTGCACTCTAGCTTTTCAAATCATCACTCTAGCCTCTCCAATACACCCCTATTATAAAGCCTGAAATTAGCTGAAAACCACAAGTTGCATAAAGCTAAATTGTGGAAAAACTGTAAAAGATAGCACAAAAAGGTTAATACAACATCACTAGTCGACAAGGCAATGAACATTTTAAAGCAAAAATGAGGTCTCTAGGTGAAAGTATGCTGAAGTTATAAGGCTTAGAAGGTGCACGAATAACATGAAGAATTGGAAGATTTCCCCATTCATTTCTATGGGAAAAAAGTTTGGAACAAAAAGTGAAAAATAATAAAAAGTACAAAGGATAGAAAGGAAAAAAATACAAGCACACATGTCCTGATGGAGTGGAATAGTTTAAAGTTTGAACGGTTGAAATCGGACAAAGTTTGAAGGAGGAGAAGCGGTCCAAAGAAACGTATGGGGAGAGTGTTAAGTATAATACTAGAAAAATTGCATTTCCTTGCAGAAAATGCGTGGAAATGCTGAGTGCTGAAAGCTGAAAAAGCAATGCTAAACTGCTAATAAAACATGGAGAAAGGTATAAATGTTATAGCTGTTGAAGGGGTGAAAAAGAAATACAAGTTGGATAATGGTTTAATTGGTTGAAGGACAAATAGTATGAATATGCTCTATAAATGGAAATTTTATTCATGCTGAAAGAGGCTAGAAAAATGTCTAAAATTGCACAAAGTTTGAATGAAGAAGGAAACTGCCTTAAAAGGCAGGAAGTTGAGAAGTGGCATAAGTTTAAGTTGTAGTACTAGAAGTAGTATAGGAGGTCAAGTCGTGATACTAGTAGTCATGTCAGCAGTAGAAGTAGTTTGAGAATAAAAGAAGTATAAGTCACAATAGTAGAGAAAGTAGAAATAGGAGCAATAGCAGTTGAAGTAGAGGGGATAGTACTAGTTTAATTGACATTAGCGGTAGTTGTCGTACTTGAGGTAGGATTTTGTTTGAAGGATGGAGTAATACATAAATATTAAAACTTATTTCAAACAGGGAAAATTGAAATAATTAAAAATCCTCAAGAATCAGAAAGTTTTTAAGTATTAGAAAGGTTTGAATCAGTTTGAATGAGTTTCAATTAGTTTGAAAAAATAAATGATAAATCATCACTGAGTGACTTTAAAATGTGAAAAATTTAAATGAATATAAATCCTAAATACACCCCATAATGTCCTCAATGAGCTCAAATTTTAAAGCCCTGAATGGTTTCTGTAGGTCAAAGGTCATGTGAGGAGATAGGGGCTGAAGTTTTTTCAAGCGCTCTAGGAAAGGGTTTTAAGTGTCATCCCCAGTGCTATGTGTACTGAGCCTGGCTTCATGTGTCTCATATGGCCATTAGAAGCAGCTTTCCAGTCAGCTGTGTGTCTCCAGGTGCACAAATTGGTTGCCATGGGGACCTTGGATGAATAACTATAGCAGGAGAAAGAAGGCTTGAAGCTAAGGAAACAGGACTCCAAGTAGGCCCTGACGCTCATCCTCTGTGAATGACATAAGGAGCTTGTGAGAACACAAGATTTTGCTGAACACATTAATACAATTTATTATCACAATCCTCAAAACACCCCATAATATCTTCAATGAGCTGAATTTTTCAAGCCCAGAATGGTTTCTGTAGCTCCAAGTTTGTGGGTGGAGATAGGTGGTGAAGCAGACACATATTATCTGTGTGTACAAGCAGGTGAACTGCAAGGTAGACCTGACAATGCAACAAGTACAAGAATGTGTGTGTGTGTGTGTGTGTGTCTCATTAATGACTGCATCCCTAACAGCTGTGAGATCAAAGGCAAATCACTGACCTACTGTTTGAATGACAAGCAGCTGAACAGCAGAGGATTAGAAGCCTGTGAACTTCTTCACATAGCGTGATTTCCTTAAGTCCCAGAATGAAAATAAGAACATCGTACGAATCCTCCGTCCTTCATGAACACAATGATGTGTTTTTCATGTCTGTACTCCGAAAAATGTGGCCACAACAGCAAGTTAAAAAAGTCTGAGCCTGAGTGACGATAAGGATTTTCTTGGAGAAGAAATACATTAGGGCCAATGGGGAGATATTTGCGCCTATCTGGACAGTTGGTCACCTGCTGGCCAAGGGGTACGATTTAATGATTTGAAACCTCTTTTGTGAGAAGCAGGACACATATACCTCCATTTTGATGTATTATTTGTGTCAGTGGAGTGAGATTTGTGGGCGTGGGAGCGATATATTCGAGCGAGGTTCTGTCGATCAGAGACGAGGTCTGCACTCTAGCTTTTCAAATCATCACTCTAGCCTCTCCAATACACCCCTATTATAAAGCCTGAAATTTGCTGAAAACCACAAGTTGCATAAAGCTAAATTGTGGAAAAACTGTAAAAGATAGCACAATGACGTTAATACAACATCAATAGTCGACAAGACAATGAACATTTTAAAGCAAAAATGAGGTCTCTAGGTGAAAGTCTGCTGGAGTTATAAGGCTTAGAAGGTGGACGAATAACAGGAAGAATTGGAAGATTTCCCCATTAATTTCTATGGGAAAAAAGTTTGGCACAAAAAGTGAAAAATAATAAAAAGTACAAAGGATAGAAAGGAAAAAAATACAAGCACACATGTCCTGATGGAGTGGAATAGTTTAAAGTTTGAATGGTTGAAATCGGACAAAGTTTGAAGGAGGAGAAGCGGTCCAAAGAAACGTATGGGGAGAGTGTTAAGTATAATACTAGAAAAATTGCATTTCCTTGCAGAAAATGCGTGGAAATGCTGAGTGCTGAAAGCTGAAAAAGCAATGCTAAACTGCTAATAAAACATGGAGAAATGTATAAATGTTAAAGCTGTTGAAGGGGTGTGAAAGAAATGTTAGTTGGATAATTGATTAATTGGTTGAAGGACAAATAGTATGAATATGCTCTATAAAAAGAAATTTTATTCATGCTGAAAGAGGCTAGAAAAATGTCTAAAATTGCACAAAGTTTGAATGAAGAAGGAAATTGCCTCAAAAGGCAGGAAAGTGAGAAGTGGTATAAGATTAATTTTTTAAGTATTAGAAAGGTTTGAATCAGTTTAAATGAGTTCAAATTAGTTTGAATAATTAAATGATAAATCATCACTGACTGACTTTTAAAATGTGAAAAATTTAAATGAATAACAATCCTAAATACACCCAATAATGTCCTCAATGAGCTCAAATTTTAAAGCCCTGAATGGTTTCTGTAGGTCAAAGGTCATGTGAGGAGATAGGGGCTGAAGTTTTTTCAAGCGCTCTAGTAAAGGGTTTTAAGTGTCATCCCCAGTGCTATGTGTGCTGAGTCTGGCTTCATGTGTCTCATATGGCCATTAGAAGCAGCTTTCCAGTCAGCTGTGTGTCTCCAGGTGCACTAATTGGTTGCCATGGGGACCTTGGATGCATAACTATAGCAGGAGAAAGAAGGCTTGAAGCTAAGGAAACAGGACTCCAAGTAGGCCCTGACGCTCATCCTCTGTATCTATTCCTGATAAGGAGCTTGTGAGAACACAAGACTCTGCTAAACACATTAATACAATTTATTATCACAATCCTCAAAACACCCCTAATATCTTCAATGAGCTGAATTTTAGAAGCCCAGAATGGTTTCTGTAGCTCAAAGTTTGTGGGTGGAGATAGGTGGCGAAGCAGACACATATTAACTGTGTGTACAAGCAGCTGAACTGCAAGGTAGACCTCATAAAGCAACAAGTACAAGAATGTGTGTGTGTGTGTGTGTGTGTGTGTGTGTGTGTGTGTGTGTGTGTGTGTGTGTGTGTGTGTGTGTGTGTGTGTGTGTCTCGTTAATGACTGCATCCTAAACAGCTGTAAGATCAAAGCCATGAACTGACCTATTGTTTGAATGGAGAAGCTGCTGAACTGCAGTGAATTTAGGGTTCTGAACTTCTTCACATAGCACGATTTCCTTAAGTCCCAGAATGAAAATAAGAACATCGTACAAATCCTCCGCCCTTCATGAACACAATGATGTGTTTTTCATGTCTGTACTCCGAAAAATGTCGCCACAACAGCGAGTTAAAAAAGTCTGAGCCTGAGTGGCGATAAGGATTTTCTTGGAGAAAAAATACATTAGAGCCAATGGGGAGAGATTTCCGCCTATTTGGACAGTTGGTCACCTGCTGGCCAAGGGGTAAGATTTAATGATTTGAAACCTCTTTTGTGAGAAGCAGGACACATATACCTCCATTTTGATGTATTTTTTATGGCTGTGGAGTGAGATTTGTGGGCGTGGGAGCGATATATTCGAGCGAGGTTCTGTCGATCAGAGAGGAGGTCTGCACTCTAGCTTTTCAAATCATCACTCTAGCCTCTCCAATACACCCCTATTATAAAGCCTGAAATTAGCTGAAAACCACAAGTTGCATAAAGCTAAATTGTGGAAAAACTGTAAAAGATAGCACAAAAAGGTTAATACAACATCAATAGTCGACAAGACAATGAACATTTTAAAGCAAAAATGAGGTCTCTAGGTGAAAGTATGCTGAAGTTATAAGGCTTAGAAGGTGCACGAATAACAGGAAGAATTGGAAGATTTCCCCATTCATTTCTATGGGAAAAAAGTTTGGAACAAAAAGTGAAAAATAATAAAAAGTACAAAGGATAGAAAGGAAAAAAATACAAGCACACATGTCCTGATGGAGTGGAATAGTTTAAAGTTTGAACGGTTGAAATCGGACAAAGTTTGAAGGAGGAGAAGCGGTCCAAAGAAACGTATGGGGAGAGTGTTAAGTATAATACTAGAAAAATTGCATTTCCTTGCAGAAAATGCGTGGAAATGCTGAGTGCTGAAAGCTGAAAAAGCAATGCTAAACTGCTAATAAAACATGGAGAAAGGTATAAATGTTAAAGCTGTTGAAGGGGTGAACAGAAATATAAGTTGGATAATTGATTAATTGGTTGAAGGACAAATAGTATGAATATGCTCTATAAAAGGAAATTTTATTCATGCTGAAAGAGGCTAGAAAAATGTCGAAAATTGCACAAAGTTTGAATGAAGAAGGAAATTGCCTTAAAAGGCAGGAAGGTGAGAAGTGGCATAAGATTCAGTTGTAGTACTAGAAGTAGTATGATAAGAAGTCAAGTCGTGATACTAGTAGTCATGTCAGCAGTAGAAGTAGATTGAGAATAAAAGAAGTATAAGTCAAAGTAGTAAAGAAAGTAGAAATAGGAGCAATAGCAGTTGAAGTAGAGGGGAAAGTTCTAGTTTAATTGACATTAGCAGTAGTTGTCGTACTTGAGGTAGGATTTTGTTTGAATGATGGAGTAATGCATAAATATTAAAACTAATTTAAAACAGGGAAATTTTAAATTATCAAAAGTCCTCAAGTATCAGAAAGTTTTGAAGTATTAGAAAGGTTTGAATCAGTTTGAATGAGTTTAAATTAGTTTGAAAAATTAAATGATAAATCATCACTGACTGACTTTTAAAATGTGAAAAATTTAAATGAATAACAATCCTAAATACACCCAATAATGTCCTCAATGAGCTTAAATTTCAAAGCCCTGAATGGTTTCTGTAGGTCAAAGGTCATGTGAGGAGATAGGGGCTGAAGTTTTTTCCAACGCTCTAGGAAAAGGTTTTAAGTGTCATCCCAATTGCTATGTGTACTGAGCCTGGCTTCATGTGTCTCATATGGCCACTAGAAGCAGCTTTCCAGTCAGCTGTGTGTCTCCAGGTGCACAAATTGGTTGCCATGGGGACCTTGGATGCATAACTATAGCAGGAGAAAGAAGGCTTGAAGCTAAAGAAGCAGGACTCCAAGTAGGCCCTGACGCTCACCCTCTGTATATATTCATAAGGAGCTTGTGAGAACACAAGACTCTGCTGAACACATTAATACAATTTATTATCACAATCCTCAAAACACCCCATAATATCTTCAATGAGCTGAATTTTTGAAGCCCAGAATGGTTTCTGTAGCTCAAAGTTTGTGGGTGGAGATAGGTGGTGAAGCAGACACATATTAACTGTGTGTACAAGCAGCTGAACTGCAAGGTGGACCTCAAAAAGCAACAAGTACAAGAATGTGTGTGCGTGTGTGTGTGTGTGTCTCGTTAATGACTGCATCCTAAACAGCTGTGAGATCAAAGGCAAATCACTGACCTACTGTTTGACTGAGAGGTGCTGAACTGCAGTGAATTTCAGCCTGTGAACTTCTTCACATAGCGTGATTTCCTTAAGTCCCAGAATGAAAATAAGAACATCGTACGAATCCTCCGTCCTTCATGAACACAATGATGTGTTTTTCATGTCTGTACTTCGAAAAATGAGGCCACAACAGCGAGTTAAAAAAGTCTGAGCCTGAGCGATGATCCGGATTTTCTTGGAGAAAAATAACATTATGGTCAATGGGAGAGATTTCTGCCTTCCTTGGACAGTTGGTCACCTGCTGGCCAAGGGGTACGATTTAATGATTTGAAACCTCTTTTGTGAGAAGCAGGACACATATACCTCCATTTTGATGTATTATTTATGGCTGTGGAGTGAGATTTGTGGGCGTGGGAGCGAAATATTCGAGCGAGGTTCTGTTGATCAGAGACGAGGTCTGCACTCTAGCTTTTCAAATCCTCACTCTAGCCTGTCCAATACACCCCTATTATAAAGCCTGAAATTTGCTGAAAACCACAAGTTGCATAAAGCTAAATTGTGGAAAAACTGTAAAAGATAGCACAAAAAGGTTAATACAATATCAATAGTCGACAAGACAATGAACATTTTAAAGCAAAAATGAGGTCTCTAGGTGAAAGTATGCTGAAGTTATAAGGCTTAGAATGTGGACGAATAACAGGAAGAATTGAAAGATTTCCCCATTCATTTCTATGGGAAAAAAAGTTTGGCACAAAAAGTGAAAAATAATAAAAAGTATAAAGGGTAGAAAAGAGAAAAGTAATAGCCATCATGTCCTGAAGGAGTGGAATAGTTAAAAGTTTGAACGGTTGAAATCGGACAAAGTTTGAAGGAGGAGAAGCGGTCCAAAGAAACGTATGGGGAGAGTGTTAAGTATAATACTAGAAAAATTGCATTTCCTTGCAGAAAATGCGTGGAAATGCTGAGTGCTGAAAGCTGAAAAAGCAATGCTAAACTGCTAATAAAACATGGAGAAATGTATAAATGTTAAAGCTGTTGAAGGGGTGTGAAAGAAATGTAAGTTGGATAATTGATTAATTGGTTGAAGGACAAATAGTATGAATATGCTCTATAAAAAGAAATTTTATTCATGCTGAAAGAGGCTAGAAAAATGTCTAAAATTGCACAAAGTTTGAATGAAGAAGGAAATTGCCTTAAAAGGCAGGAAGGTGAGAAGTGGCATAAGTTTAATTTTTTAAGTATTAGAAAGGTTTGAATCAGTTTGAATCAGTTCAAATTAGTTTGAAAAATTAAATGATAAATCATCACTGAGTGACTTTAAAATGTGAAAAATCTAAATGTATATAAATCCTAAATACACCCCCTAATGTCCTCAATGAGCTCAAATTTTAAAGCCCTGAATGGTTTCTGTAGGTCAAAGGTCATGTGAGGAGATAGGGGCTGAAGTTTTTTCAAGCGCTCTAGTAAAGGGTTTTAAGTGTCATCCCCAGTGCTATGTGTGCTGAGCCTAGCTTCATGTGTCTCATATGGCCATTAGAAGCAGCTTTCCAGTCAGCTGTGTGTCTCCAGGTGCACTAATTGGTTGCCATGGGGACCTTGGATGCATAACTATAGCAGGAGAAAGAAGGCTTGAAGCTAAGGAAACAGGACTCCAAGTAGGCCCTGACGCTCATCCTCTGTATCTATTCCTGATAAGGAGCTTGTGAGAACACAAGACTCTGCTAAACACATTAATACAATTTATTATCACAATCCTCAAAACACCCCATAATATCTTCAATGAGCTGAATTTTAGAAGCCCAGAATGGTTTCTGTAGCTCAAAGTTTGTGGGTGGAGATAGGTGGCGAAGCAGACACATATTAACTGTGTGTAAAAGCAGCTGAACTGCAAGGTAGACCTCATAAAGCAACAAGTACAAGAATGTGTGTGTGTGTGTGTGTGTGTGTCGTTAATGACTGCATCCTAAACAGCTGTGAGATCAAAGGCAAATCACTGACCTACTGTTTGAATGAGAAGCAGCTGAACTGCAGAGGATTTAGAGGCTCTAAACTTCTTCACATAGCGTGATTTCCTTAAGTCCCAGAATGAAAATAAGAACATCGTACGAATCCTCCGCCCTTCATGAACACAATGATGTCTTTTTCATGTCTGTACTTCGAAAAATGAGGCCACAACAGCGAGTTAAAAAAGTCTGAGCCTGAGCGATGATCCGGATTTTCTTGGAGAAGAAATACATTAGGTCTAATGGGGAGAGATTTCCGCCTATTTGGACAGTTGGTCACCTGCTGGCCAAGGGGTAAGATTTAATGATTTGAAACCTCTTTTGTGAGAAGCAGGACACATATACCTCCATTTTGATGTATTTTTTATGGGTGTGGAGTGAGATTTGTGAGCGTGGGAGCGATATATTCGAGCGAGGTTCTGTCCGTCAGAGACGAGGTCTGCACTCTAGCTGATGACATCATCACTCTAAACTCTCCAATACACACCCATTATAAAGCTTGAAATTTGCTGAAAACCACAAGTTGCATGAAGCTAAATTGTGGAAGAACTGTAGAAGATAGCACAAAAAAGTGAATACAACATTAATAGCCGACAAGTTAATGAACATTTTAAAGCAAAAATGAGGTCTCTAGGTGAAAGTATGCTGAAGTTATAAGGCTTAGAAGGTGGAAGAATAAAAGGAAGATATGGAAGATTTCCCCATTGACTTCAATGTTAAAATTTTTGCACAAAAAGTTTAAAAAAAACAAAAAGTATAAAAGGTAGAAGAGTGAAAAGTAATAGCTATCATGTCCTGAAGGAGTGGAATAGTTTAAAGTTTGAACGGTTGAAATCGGACAAAGTTTGAAGGAGGAGAAGCGGTCCAAAAAAGGTACGGAAGAATAATAATAAGTTGAATAAAGAAACAGGAGAATAACAATAAGTGGAAATGCTTAATCAGCATTTCCACTTAACTAGAAAAATTGCATTTCCTTGCAGAAAATGCGTGGAAATGCTGAGTGCTGAAAGCTGAAAAAGCAATGCAAAACTGCCAATAAAAAATGGAGGAAGGTATAAACGGAAAAACTGTAGAAAAGGTGGAGTAGAAGAAGAAGAAATTGTATCAATGGAAGAATTGTAGTATAGCTGGAGGTAAATTAGTTGGATTAATGTACAAATTGTCTGATAGCCTAAGTGAAAAATGTATATGATTGATGTGAATAAACAGAACTGATATGGATAATTGAATTTGAAAAACAAATGCCTTTAAACAATGTGTAACAATGTTCCTATTAAATGTACAAATAGTAAAACAGATTTTTGCAGTCTGCAGTATCCAACCATAGTAACTTGAGAATGCAGAACAGCACCATCTATTGCCCTGCTTCAGTTACTGCCCTACATCTGAATGCAGAAAGTATGAAACAGCTGAAGTTAAATTAATTGTATAAATGTAGAAAGTATAGAAAAGAAAAGCAGAAGTAGAAGAAAAAGAAGAAGTTAGTATGTTAAAAGAGTTAAAGACAAGAACTGTAACAACAAAGTTCATATTGGGGCTGTATTTTGTACTGACAGAGAGACAGTAATGCACACATGGAAACAGTGTGTGTGTGTGTGTGTGTGTGTGTGTGTGTGTGTGTGTGTGTGTGTGTGTCTCGTTAATGATTGCATCCTAAACAGCTGTGAGATCAAAGCATTAACTAACCTATTGTTTGAATGGAGAAGCTGCCGAACTGCAGTGAAATAAGGGTTCTGAACTTCTTCACATAGCACGATTTCCTTAAATCCCAGAATGAAAATAAGAACATCGTACGAATCCTCCATCCTTCATGAACACAATGATCTGTTTTTCATGTCTGTACTCCCAAAAATGTGGCCACAACAGCGAGTTTAAAAAGTCTTAACCTGAGTGACGATAAGGATTTTCTTGGAGAAAAAATACATTAGGGCCAATGGGGAGAGATTTGCGCCTATTTGGACAGTTGGTCACCTGCTGGCCAAGGGGTAGGATTTAATGATTTGAAACCTCTTTTGTGAGAAGCAGGACACATATACCTCCATTTTGATGTATTTTTTATGGCTGTGGAGTGAGATTTGTGGGCGTGGGAGCGATATATTCGAGCGAGGTTCTGTCGATCAGAGACGAGGTCTGCACTCTAGCTTTTCAAATCATCACTCTAGCCTCTCCAATACACCCCCATTATAAAGCCTGAAATTTGCTGAAAACCACAAGTTGCATAAAGCTAAATTGTGGAAAAACTGTAAAAGATAGCAAAAAAAGGTTAATACAACATCAATAGTCGACAAGACAATGAACATTTTAAAGCAAAAATTAGGTCTCTAGGTGAAAGTATGCTGAAGTTATAAGGCATAGAAAGTGGACGAATAACAGGAAGAATTGAAAGATTTCCCCATTCATTTCTATGGGGAAAAAAGTTTGGCACAAAAAGTGAAAAATAATAAAAAGTATAAAGGGTAGAAAAGAGAAAAGTAATAGCCATCATGTCCTGATGGAGCGGAATAGTTTAAAGTTTGAACGGTTGAAATCGGACAAAGTTTGAAGGAGGAGAAGCGGTCCAAAGAAACGTATGGGGAGAGTGTTAAGTATAATACTAGAAAAATTGCATTTCCTTGCAGAAAATGCGTGGAAATGCTGAGTGCTGAAAGCTGAAAAAGCAATGCTAAACTGCTAATAAAACATGGAGAAAGGTATAAATGTTAAAGCTGTTGAAGGGGTGAGAAAGAAATGTAAGTTGGATAATTGATTAATTGGTTGAAGGACAAATAGTATGAATATGCTCTATAAAAGGAAATTCTATTCATGCTGAAAGAGGCTAGAAAAATGTCTAAAATTGCACAAAGTTTGAATGAAGAAGGAAATTGCCTTAAAAGGCAGAAAGGTGAGAAGTGGCATAAGTTTAAGTTGTAGTACTAGAAGTAGTATAAGAGGTCAAGTCGTGATACTAGTAGTCACGTCAGCAGTAGAAGTAGTTTGAGAGTAAAAGAAGTATAAGTCAAAGTAGTAGAGAAAGTAGAAATAGTAGCAATAGCAGCAGTAGAGAAAGTAGAAATAGGAGCAATAGCAGTGGAAGTAGAGGGGAAAGTACTAGTTTAATTGACATTAGCAGTAGTTGTAATACTTGAGGTAGGATTTTGTTTGAAGGATGGAATAATGCATAAATATTAAAATTAATTTAAAAAGGGGAAAATTTAAATAATTAAAAGTCCTCAAGTATCAGAAAGTTTTAAAGTATTAGAAAGGTTTGAATGAGTTTAAATTAGTTTGAAAAAAAATTAAATGATAAATCATCACTGAGTGACTTTAAAATGTGAAAAATGTAAATGAATATAAATCCTAAATACACCCCATAATGTCTTCAATGAGCATAAATTTTAAAGCCCTGAATGGTTTCTGTATGTCAAAGGTCATGTGAGGAGATCGGAGCTGAAGTTTTTTCAAGCGCTCTAGGAAAGGGTTTTAAGTGTCATCCCCAGTGCTATGTGTACTTAGCCTGGCTTCATGTGTCTCATATGGCCATTAGAAGCAGCTTTCCAGTCAGCTGTGTATCTCCAGGTGCACAAATTGGTTGCCATGGGGACCTTGGATGAATAACTATAGCAGAAGAAAGAAGGCTTGAAGCTAAGGAAACAGGACTCCAAGTAGGCCCTGACGCTCATCCTCTGTATAAATTCATAAGGAGCTTGTGAGAACACAAGATTTTGCTGAACACATTAATACAATTTATTATCACAATCCTCAAAACACCCCATAATATCTTCAATGAGCTGAATTTTAGAAGCCCAGAATGGTTTCTGTAGCTCAAAGTTTGTGGGTGGAGATAGGTGGCGAAGCAGACACATATTAACTGTGTGTACAAGCAGCTGAACTGCAAGGTAGACCTCATAAAGCAACAAGTACAAGAATGTGTGTGTGTGTGTGTGTGTGTGTCGTTAATGACTGCATCCTAAACAGCTGTGAGATCAAAGGCAAATCACTGACCTACTGTTTGAATGAGAAGCTGCTGAACTGCAGAGGATTTAGAGGCTCTAAACTTCTTCAAATAGCGTGATTTCCTTAAGTCACAGAATGAAAATAAGAACATCGTACGAATCCTCCGTCCTTCATGAACACAATGATGTGTTTTTCATGTCTGTACTTCGAAAAATGAGGCCACAACAGCGAGTTAAAAAAGTCTGAGCCTGAGCGATGATCCGGATTTTCTTGGAGAAAAATAACATTACAGTCAATGGGAGAGATTTCCGCCTTCTTTGGACAGTTGGTCACCTGCTGGCCAAGGGGTAGGATGTAATGATTTGAAACCTCTTTTGTGAGAAGCAGGACACATATACCTCCATTTTGATGTATTATTTGTGTCAGTGGAGTGAGATTTGTGGGCGTGGGAGCGATATATTCGAGCGAGGTTCTGTCGATCAGAGACGAGGTCTGCACTCTAGCTGATGACATCATCACTCTAAACTCTCCAATACACACCCATTATAAAGCTTGAAATTTGCTGAAAACCACAAGTTGCTTAAAGCTAAATTGTGGAAAAACCGTAAAAGATAGCACAAAAAAGTCAATACAGCATATTTGGAGGAGAAGATTGTGAACATTTTAAAGCAAAAATGAGGTCTCTAGGTGAAAGTACGCTGAAGTTATAAGGCTGAGAAGGTGGAGGAGTAAAAGGTAGGATTTGAAGATTTCCCCATTCATTTCAATGGGAACATTTTTTGCACAAAAAGTCAAAAATATCAAAAAGTATAAGGGGTAGAAAAGAGAAAAGTAATAGCCATAATGTCCTGAAGGAGTGGAATAGTTTAAAGTTTGAACGGTTGAAATCGGACAAAGTTTGAAGGAGGAGAAGCGGTCCAAAAAACGGCGGAAGAATAATAAGAAGATTAAAGAAACGGGAGAATAACAATAAGTGGAAATGCTTAATCAGCATTTCCACTTAACTAGAAAAATTGCATTTCCTTGCAGAAAATGCGTGGAAATGCTGAGTGCTGAAAGCTGAGAAGCCAAGCATGCAAAACTGTGAAAAAAATGGAGGAGAGTATAAATTTAAAAAATTGTTAAAGGGGTGAAGTGTAATAAGTAGAAGTTGTGTGAATGTTTAAACCGTAACAGAACTGAAGAAGATATTGAAAAAGAGATGAGTTATATGGATGTAAAAACACTGGGAGAGGTAAACCAGAAGCTGTATGAATATTCAGATTGCTTAAGAACTGAACTTGAACATTACAGAAAATATGGTAAAGAATTTTAAAGATGGCTGAAAAGGCCTTCATGTTGGACGAAGTAGAAATGAATTTAAATGAGACATGAACACATTACACAAATATATTTAATTTAAAATTTGCATCAACTTAAAAAATTAAAACTGAGTTTTTACATAAGTAAAACCAAAAGAAAGAAAAAAAAATTGTCAATCCTTTAACATTTTGTGAGCAATGAAATGATTAATCATAAAACATTAAAAAAAATTAAAAAAAAACATCAAAACATAAACACATAAAGAAACAATGTTCCATAGTGCCTTAAATCAAATTATAAACAATTTGTTTGTGAACAGGTTTTGGAAGCAGAAATCTTTACATGGGTGACCAATCTGTCTCTTAAGCCTGAGGTTTTAAGATTGTAGTTGCTGTAATTATTGATGGACAAAGGTATCACATTTTCAGTTGTTTCTAATATTGTTTAGCCCAATCATTAAAGGCTCTTCATACGGTGCTTAGACTGAGGCTAACACCCCATTATTTACTGGATTCAAACTCCAGCAGCCCTGGACCCACATTCACCTCTTTTCTTGTGTATTCGGATTACTAAGCCTTAAAAGTTGGCTCATAAAATTTGTCATGGCACATTAAGCCAAGTCCTGTGTTGTGGGCTTTAAAGACAGACCTTGAAATTTGATTTCAAAGTCTGATACAGGACTGTTATGCGTGTTTTTAAGGGTTTAGATTAGCCTAAGACTAAGTTTGCACATCTGAAAAACCTTTATTATACCTATACATTAAAAAAAATATGAAAATGGTGACTTGAGAGTTATAAAAAAAATAGTTACTAAAATCGGTCAGCAGTATAACAACATAAATGTGAAACACAACAAGTATAGAATAAATGTAAAATAATGTGAAGGGTAAGGTAAAGAATGCAAATGCAAATAATGCAAAGTTATCCAGGCTTGTGGAAATATACAGGCAAAGTAAGGTGAAAGGCTTATTAATTAAATATGGCATTTTAGTATTTTTTAAAGCTAACTGCAGTGAAATGTGGGCCCTCTCATGTAGAAAAAAAAGAAAATTATCGAATAATAAATAATTATAATAATAAATAAAATTAAATGACATGAAACTGAAACTTTAAACAAAATCTAAAATGATCAGATTAAAAAGTAGATTTGAGAACTTGAAATAAATTGATGTAATGGATTGGTCCACCTTACCACCAAAGGGCTTTTCACAGTAGACCAAGGATAATACTGTCATCAGCTCATTGTAGTGGACTGACAATCTGGTCAGCAAAAATAACTCAGCGGTTTACTGTACAGTGTAGTACAGAAGTCTTTTACAGAAATTAAAATATTTTTTTTTAATTAAATCTAAATTTAAGATTTAAAATAATGTGGAGGGTAAGGTAAAGAATGCAAATGCAAAAGGTGCAAAGTCATCCAGGCTTGCGGAAATATACAGGCAAAGTAAGATGAAAGGTTAATAACTTAAATATGGCACTAAGGTATTTTTTATAGCATGTATTGGTCCACCTTACCACCCAAAAGGCTTTTCACAGTAGTTAGACCAAGGCTAATACTGTCATCAGCTCATTGTAGTGGACTGACAATCTGGTCAGCATTTTAGATCCCAGTGTTTTCTTATCCAAACATTCACACTACTTGTCGTACTGAAATGCTGGGTTGTCTTCACGATGATAGTTTCTTTTTTAAAAGTTTTCTACTATGGAGAAATACATTTTAAGGATAAGCATAAAAACTTTGTTCCTCTATGAAATCCCTTCACACAGCTCGTAAACGAGCCCTGTGTTTGAGGATTGTGACGGCAACCTTCAGCAGGGATTGTTTCACACTGTAATGCTGGGATCACTGCTGTCCAAAACATTAGCCCAAGACTAAGCACACGTGAAAAACCTGCAGTGTACCTACCAGCTGAAACCCAAAGTACATCATTAATTTCTAAAACACGTCTTCTCTTGTAGGTAAATTTGAGGGATATGGTGAGCATATTAAAATGAGAAATTCAGCTGCCTGCAACAACTGAAGTAACTGGTATTATTTCCCTTCATCAGTGTTGGTCATCTTTTGATATAAGGACAGATACACAGTAAAAGGGAAAGAAAACACTAAAATAAAATAGAACAAATAAAGTCCAAGAAACATAAAGGAAACTTAAAATATTAACAGATATCGACAACCGATCACTGAATGTAGAAAACAGGATTCAAAACAATATAAGAGTAATAGTTGTCCTGTCCTGAAGAAAATCAGCCAGTTCTTCAAGTGAGTACTGTGTTCTGTCTGGGCACTTTTGTTCAAAACCAAAAGCAGAGCCCGCTACAGTTCAGAGTGAAGGTTTAGAGTGAGGTAATGTTTTGACCTTTGACCTGTGGTTGTAGAATCGCTGTGTGCAGTTATCAGTGTTCGAGTTGACAGCATCACTGGAGTCAGGGAAAGTTTAAAGCTGCAGTAAAGATGAACTGATGATCTGAATGTGATGACATCTGCTGCAGCTTGCTTCACAGGACTGCAGGACTTGTAGGATCACCATTAGTTAGCTGCACTTGCTACACCGTGGATGAACAGACAGTGACTTGAAGTAGGAGAATGTAGCTGGTTCAAAACAGGAAATAAACAGAAACATTTGTGTTGATAATCTGTGAAACTAAACACGTTGAATAAATACACACATCATTAAAATGAATACCTTCAGCACTGCAGCAGAGCAAAAATATTTCTGTCCAGAGCAACTTCACCAGGTCTGCAGCAGCAAAGCTTCCTCACACAGAGAGGCTCAAGGCTCAGGGTGGCTGCATGATGTCCACCTTTGGTGCGTTCAGCTGCCTGAGTGTCTAAGCTGTTCTTCCTCTCTTAACTGGCTTGAAGAAGACCTGGGAGAAAACACTGCTGTTAAAGACGATGATATCAGCAGAGCTGTACAATAGCGTCACAAGCATTAATACAGCAGCTAAGATAACTAAGAAAAAATAAATGAACACAAGTTCACTAAGACATTACCTCAGACGTTCTTGAAGAGGGGTTTATCTCTTGGAGGTTCAGCAGGAACGAGCCCAGTGAGTGACAGGTACTACAGCATCAGTTCTGCTTCAGCCTGGTGTCTGGTGGTCCTTGAGAGCTGCTTCAGGACATCTGGAGCATGAGCAGGTAAAACACATGTTTGTGTAGTCCATGAGAGAAGGGTCCTGGTGGGTGCTGCAATCTGTCCAGCACAGCGATGATGGTTGTTGAGAGCAGCAGGGGGATGGTGTGGAGGATGTCATCTCTTCTTCACCTCTGACCAAAGACTGGGTTAAACAGCAGGTAGACTGTGTCTTTGAGTGGTCCAAAGTGATGTGTTTACTTCTGGTTGACGGTTTGATAATTTTTTTCTGCTCATAAGTGAGCTAGTCAGGACAGCACTAATGGTCAGGTCAAAGATGGCAGAGACAACTGAAGAAGAAAAAAAAAAATACCCAAACAAAAGGAAACTTAGCTTTACTCTACTGTACCTACAGGTGATGTGTTTACTTTTGGTTGACAGTTTGATAATTTTTTTCAGTTTACAGTGAGCTAGTCAGGATAGTACTAATGGGGGTCAGGTTAAAGATGGCGGGGACAACTGAAAAAAATAATAATAATAAAAAATAAAAAATAAAAACCTACCCAAAGAAAAGGAAACTTATGTTTGCCCTAGTGTACTTACAGCCACCCATGCTAAGAGAGTGGTGTAAAGTTGGGTGGAGAAAAGGGGGGTTTCAGCTGGTAGGTAACAGAAAATCAGAAAGTGTGTGTTCATTAGGGAACACACACTTTCTGATGGAGGTTTTTAATTTTAGCTGCTGTATACAGTATTGTACACAGCAGCTGAGAGTTTTGGCCTGTGCATTTATCAATCCGCACCCACCCTCCCTATGTCCAGTCAAGTCAAGTTAAATGGATTAACTTGACTTGACTGGACTTGATAAATGCACAGGCCAAAAATTGTCATTTATAACATTTGAATAGTTGGAAAATTTTACAACCTGAAAAATATTTTCTATCTAAAAATTCTGAACCATAAAAATATATTTTGCACAAGTAAAATTTACAATGACCAAACACATTTCAATCTGTACTGAAAATATGAGCATAACATTAGCCACAACTTCTCTGGTTTGTCTTTTCCTTCAGAGCAGTTTCCTCTATGACCTGTTGGATGAAATGACACAGTAAGTGGCGTTGTGGTAACTGTAGTAGGTCTGCATGATACCTGAGGAGAGACATAGCTGAGGTCGTGAGATGAAGATCAGGTCCAGCAGTGTGTTCTTGTCCGTTGTAGCAGCAGTGATCAATTGACCATATCCCTTGGACTGAAAGAAATCCAGAATTGGCTTACTTGCATTAGAAAAGAGATTCTCATTGAAGTCGCCACAGACGATGATGGGATGACAGTCCATGATCTCAAGTGAGTCCAGAAGGCTTCCCAGATTGGACAGGAATGATGGCACACTGTAGTCTGGAGGTCTGTACACAGCTGCAATCAGAGCACTTACAGGAGATTCAACCTTCAAAGCCACAAACTCAAGGTCAGTCACATTATTCAGGTACTGTTTCTCCACAACCTGCAAATGGTTTTTCACATAAACAGCGACTCCACCACCTCCTTTACTGGCCATCTGTGGAAAGTTAGTGTAGGACAAATGTCTGTTGCGTTTGAACATGGTGTAGCCCTCAAACTGGAGACTGTCCGCCACAAAGGAGCCCTGTAGGTGAGTTTCTGTCAGACACAAAACATCTGCAAGACACAGTTCATGATGGCTTTTGATGTCATTCACATGAGCAGGTAATCCTTCGGTGTTGTGATGAATGATGCTCACAGTGTCCTGTCTGCTGAGAGAATGCTGGATCTGGAGAAAAGGCATGAGGTGATCAAAGTTAGCTTGCGTCATGGTCTCCAAAGATACAGTGACTGCAGGGTTAGCATGGATTTTACTCTCATCCAAATCAAGCATGTACAGTCCGCTGAGAGAGGTCACTCGACTGATAGCTACGTAGGCCATGCCGGGCTCAAAAATGTGCTTCAGTGAGACAACAGCAGATTTTCTGGTCATACCTTGAACCTTGTGTATCGTGCATGCAAAGGCAAGTTTCACAGGAAACTGTCTGCGTACCACTCCTTTCTGTTGCAGAGCCTCTTCAGATCTCTCGATGTACACAAGATTGTCTCCTCGAGTACGATAGCTCCTGCCAGCTGTTTCATCATCCATCTTGAGACCAAGCATAGTGACAAGAGTAGAACTGTTGTTTTCAGAGCTTATGAGACGGCCTACTGTAGCAAATGATCCGTTCACCAATCCTTGAGACACATCAATGTTTCTGGTAAGCATGACTCTAGCACCTACTGCAACATCTAGGGTGTCAGGTAGATCATTTCTGCTTCCATGACATGGTGCACCTTGTCTTTTCATGTGTCCAGTGTGTGGGTCTTTTTTAAAGTCATCTGCATCAATGGTGGTGATATCAGAATGGAGCAGAGATAGTGTAGCAGAGTTGTGTGCTGCAACTTGTTTGTTTGTAGCAAAAATGTGCAGGACATCAGAGGGACACAGTTGTGGTTCAGTGACACGCTGTGACAGCAGATCTCTGTCAGCTTCAGAAAGCTCATCTGACCTTGTTTTCACACGGAGTCTGTTCAGCATCTCGGCAAAAGTTTTGTCATCCTTCTGTCGCATGATCTCATCTAAAGTGATCACCTGGAAGTTGTCTCTCCAGAGGTCAAGCTCACTTGGATCATAGACGCAGAGTGGTTTGGACTGTCGCACAGGCGGTAGCTGGTAAAAGTCTCCCACAGCAATGACTGACATTCCTCCAAAGGGTCTGTAGCTGCCTTTAATCTGTTTCAGTCTCATATCCACATAGGCAAACAGAGGCTTCGACACCATGGAGATTTCATCAATGATGATGATTTCAGCATTTAAAAGCTCACACCTGATTTCATCAAGTTGGTTCCCAAGACCTTGGAAAGGAGGTTTCAAACTTCTGGGCAGCTTGAGGAGAGAGTGCAGTGTTGTTCCAGAGATGTTAAAGGCTGCAGTTCCGGTGAAAGCAGTCAACAGCACAGTCGGGTTTGAGATGTCAGCTTCTTCAGCACGTCTAGGTAGTGTTCTCAGAATCTTTGATGCTTCTGAATGAATGCATTTAATGAGATGTGACTTTCCAGTGCCAGCACCACCATTGATGTAGTAGAAAAACTGCTCTGGTTGTGGTCCACAGACTCGTTTTATGCACCAGTCTCTTACTGCATAGAACACACATGCCTGTTTCTGGTTCAGACTCTGATACATTTGTCGTAACCGTGTGGAATCGATTGTAGGGGGCTCTCTCATGACTCTGGCCTCTGTAGCAGCATTTGCTTGTCTGCTGTAATCCGGTACATCCTCTTGGACATTTTCACACTGTCTGGCATCCAGTTCATCGATACACTCCAACCTCACCAGTTCAGATTCAGGTGCCAAATTACACCATTCATCGACCACACCTCTGTTCTGTTCAAAGTCCTCGAGAGCAGAGTCAATTTCCTCACTGTTTTTTTCATATCTCTCTCTGTTTCTTTTCACAATGAGTTTCACACTCAGGGGTCGGTCAGAATACGGCAGCTGAACCACACCTCTCTCATAGAATGACTCATACGTGGGAAAATATGGTCTTTTCAGCTCATCGTCTGATCTGTATGGAAGATACAGTCTAAGCAATGTGCCGTAAAACTGCTCAGGGTATTTCTCTTTGGATATGCGGCGATACCTGATGACAGCAGCGTTGTCACTTTCTCGTCTCTGTATAAAGCCTAGTTCATTCAGCAGAGGTACCACTTTCTTGCCCTTGGTCTGTTGTCCATACACCAGTCTGCAGGTAGACGCAAAATCAGCCATGCACATCTCTTCAAACTCTGGTGATTCAGGTCTGGATTTGTACTTGTCTGTTAAGGATGTCATCCACACATTCAAGCTGTCTGGTGTTGTGTTGTCAAGGCTTGACACAGGCAGACTCATTTTCACTGGGTTGTCATCAGTTGGGACAAAAACCACACTGCGTGAACTCTTTTTCATGTTCAGTGAAGTCACTCGGGCAACAGCTTCTTGTGCTGATACTTCTCGCTTTTTGGAATACGCCTGCATGACCGCTTTCATTTCATCACATTCATTGACACATTCTCTGTCGGAGTTCTGAATGAGTGTTTGCAGGTACTGGCTCACAGAGTTCTCACTTTTACACATGTACGTACATATGTAATGGATCAGACTGTAGTAGCTGAGAATGAACTGCACGTCAATGTTTGCATCCCAAGCTTTGAGCAGGTGAGGGTTGTAGGTGTTTACCCAGCAGTCTTTTGGCTCACGCTTCAGAATGATGTTGCTGGACTGACTCATCACATTCATGTGTTTCTCATACTCATCAGCGGTTAAGTCACAGACGGACAGGAGCTGTTGAAAACTCATGGATTCAGTTTGTGTCTCATTCAGCAGCTGATTCAGTGGTGCAAGTTTCTCTTTGGCTCTCTTAAGTCTCTCTGACTCCTCATCATCACCCACAGGTCTTGTTATCATTGTCTGTCTGGAGGGTGGTTTTGGGAATCCAAATCGGCATCCAGAACTTGCACTTTTGAAACATGTCTTTGAGTGGTTCTTACTGTGTATTTGCACTTCTTTGACCTTTTTGTACAGTTCAGGCTGTTTGTTTGGGTCAGGGAGCTGAGCAGAGATGTGTTTGGACACAAAGTCACACACAGTTTTGTCAGAGTCTCTCTCAAACACAGGTGCACCTTCTACCCACAAAAGACCATGTATATGAGGACTTCCTCTGTGCTGAAACTCGAGACGCCAAAAGAAGTCAAAAACTTTGCCCAGGGGTTGTGCAGGAGACATGATCAGATCTCTGTACAGTGCTTCAACACGCTTATCAAACATGCGCATCGTTGTCACAGGATTGCTTCTCAGAATGTCACACTTTGTGGACCAGTCGAGCTCTTCAAAATTCACCTCCTCACCTTGTTGTAATTTTATTGCAATAATCACCTCAGGCCAACGCATTTCTGCTGCAGAAAATGTGACAAAGAAAGTAGGACTGCCCAACTGTCTGATCATAGCAAACAGATCTTTTGTAGTTTTGTCCCAGTAGGCTGGTGTTCCTCTGAGCGGCTGCATAAATCTGATAGCATCTCTGTTTCTCACCAGTCTCTCCACTTCGTATTTGTCTCTCAACATTCTGGATGTTATTTTACGTCCGTCTCTGGTCAAAGGTTTGCCTTTGCGTAACTGTATTGACATGCTGGAGGTAGCCAAGTGTATTTCAGTCACAAACTGTGCAAAGAACAGGTAGTTGGTATCTTTGGCAAAGCGATCATCAACACCAAAGAGCCTTGCTTTAAAATAACTACTGGGTGATAGTTTCATTGGTCTGTTTTCATCCAGTGTATTCTCACCAGTGGGAAACTGAACAGGAAACGCCATGGCCTCTAGTTTGGGTGTTTTGAAAAAACTGACTGGATTGTTTCTCTCTGCTGGAGCTACTGAGTATGTAGAGTCACTGAAACACAAGATCTCCTCAGAAACATCACGTGGCTGAAGGCACGACTCCAAAACAACACCACCATTAGGTATGTCTGCATCCTGTTGTTGTGTCTGATCATCATTTTCCTGGGTCTGACTTTTATCACACAGCTCTGTACTCTCATCCTCATTTTCAACATTAGTTTCAGCCTCATACATGGCAGCAGCCTCAATTCGATCAATTTCCATCAAATCCTCATCGTCATAGTCGTCATCATTCATTGTAATATCATTACCATCATCATCATCCTCATCCTCATCACCATCATCAGGAAGTGTGGGGTCACATAACTCCTCCTCATCTCTAATAGTGATGTCTTCATACTGGGGGTGTATCTCTTTCAGTTTATGCAGAGCCTGCACTAGCTTGGACCAGGTAACAGTCTGAAACAGATGGTGACCTCTGTAACTCAAGCGTCTCTTCAGTTTTACTCTCATCACCTGAGATTCATTTCTCAATCTGGGTAGAGCCTGAATTGTTTCCTGGACTTCAGAGGGAACACATACAACATTACCATGTATAGCTCTCTGTCTGCCTTTGGGAAGAGGAATGATTTTGGCAAATGTTATGCACTTTGCTATCAGATGTCTCTCCAGTATGTTGAGGTCACACAGCTCAGGTGGTATGTCAGCAAGCTCCAAGTTGTTTGCTATGGCAAGTTTGGGCATGGATCCATTTTTCAGATGGTCATGGCAGGTGTGACAAATCCACTCAGTCTTTCTCTCATCAGGGACAGTGCACTGATTTCTGTAGTCATCGTTGCATGCATGGACGTACTGACCTTTGAGACAAGCTGAAACCATGGTTGGATTTTTCACATAGTTTGATCTCTTGCACTTTTGAACCTGGTTTGGAAATGAGGCTTTGTGACAAACTGTGCAAACATGGGTGGGACCAGCTTTAATGTGTGATCTGAAATCATTGATGGCACTTTCAATAAGAGGGTTTTCACTCTCTCTGTCAGTCTCACATGTTTGTCTACTTATCCGTTTGTATTTCTTTGATATTTTCAATGCACACCTCATTTTATGCATAGTTCTGTAAGCAAGATTTGTCTTGTACTTGTCTCGCATCATTTGTCTCATCAGCTGTCTGTGTCGGTGACAGAATATTTCATCATTTGCATATCGATGAGTGATATATGATCGCTGTCTTTGCCTGAAATTAACATCCTCCGAGTATTTTTTCCTGATATATTCTTTTTGTCTGCCTTTAAAATCAACATTTTCTCTGTATTTTTTCGTGAAATATTCTTTTCGTCTGCCTTTAAAATCAACATTTTCTCCATATTTTTCCTAAAATATAACTTTTGTCTGCCTTTAAAATCAACATTTTCTCTGTATTTTTTGGTGATATATTCTTTTTGTCTGCCTTTAAAATCAACATTTTCTCTGTATTTTTTGGTGATATATTCTTTTTGTTTCAGTCTGAAGCCTGTGCTTTCTCTATATTTAGATGTGATCTTTTGTCTTTTCTTTGTCCGTATCTCAGGATTTACAGAATATTTGTTACTTGAATAAGACTTTTTCTTTGCTTTATATGTTTCACTCTTAGCATACTTTTGTCTCTCTCTCCTTTTTTGATTCTCTTTCTTTTGAGATGTCTTTCCAGATCTCATTAGTCTCCTCTTAAATTTCTTTTTTTGCTGTTTGCTTAATTTTGACAGTTTAGTGGAGATGTCATGGATAACTTTGTCACTAGCAATGGGGATAGTTATCAATGGTTGTGTCAAATTTGATTTTGTCTGTTGAGTTTCCTCTAATGTGACAGAATTATTGTTGATTTCACCTGGTTGATGAGCTTGAGTTTCCATCAAAGTTGAGGCTTTCTGTGATGTGCCATCACTTACAGTAGTGTTAATCTCTGGAGTGAGAAATTCAGGACCAGTTAATGTGACAGAACACTGGTTGAAGTCGATCAGTGGTTCTGGTTCAGTTTCCATGTCCCATTCAGTGTTTTCATGGACATCAGCGTTCATCTGTGGGGCACTTGTGTCATCATTTATCACAGTGGTTGTTACAGAGGGACTTGTGGACGGACTTTCTGTGGCTGGGATAGCATCACTTGGGTTCACATCACAGAACACAACTGGCTTGAGCTCATAGGTACAGGACGCTGCTGTGCCCAACATGTGGTGATACGTGATGAGCCTGGCAATCATGTCACTGAGGCGTGTGAATGTTACCATGACAGCGGTACCAGGAGTAGGTGTGGCCTTAAGCAGAGGCAAACCGTTAGCTGTCCTAGCATGTGGGTCAAAGAAACCGTACCTGCCATCTCTGGTTCTGAAAACTGCAATGCACAGTGAAGTCATTAGCAGCAAAGCATACTGCACATCTGATAATAAACAGCTCAGTCCCATCTCGAGGTCCAGAAAGGTATCAACAGCTCCGGGATCCGGATCTCCAAACGTACCGTATCTAGACAGCTGTAACTTGTCAACAGTCAGCATGTGTCTGCGGGCAGGAACCTGGTCAGGGAGCTCATCGGTTGTCAGATGGGCGTGATCAACAGTTTTTCTGATTTCTCTGTACATCGCATCACCTTTATCCAAAACACGGTCCAGATCTGCTCTGGTGATGTGTTCTTTCTCATTCAGGAATGCTAGAAATGTCAGTGAGTTACAGGTGCACTGCTGGTTTCTGGATCGGCCGTATTTCAGAGACGCTTGGCTGCGTGACGCACAGACATTTTGTTCACCTGACTGATTAATATTTCCTGCCTGAGAAGAGGCTGAAACAGACTGATAATTACGGTGGTTAACTGTGTCTGGATACGATACCTGGGTTGAAAATGGCTTGTCAGTTTGGGCTATGTAGTTAACCTGAGGAGAGTTGGACGGACCAGCAGTACGTGACACACGAGGAAGTTTTCTCTTCAACATGTCTGCATATGTTACCTGTTGTACACCTGGATCATTACTTTCACCTCTGTGTTTTACCTGTTCAGAGTTAGACGGACCTGCTGCAGGTGACTCACTTACACGTCTCCTCTTGAGAACGTCTTCATAAGATACCCGTGGTTGACATGATGCATTTTCACCTCCCTGTTTCACAGCATCAGACACTTCAGACCTCTTTACCTCTCCATTGCTCTGAGGAACACCATCTGCTTGTCCAGTACTCACAAAGTCAATGTCATGAACCCTCTGCCAGCGCTGGCTTGCAGCCTGTGACTTCTTACTCTTCCTTGGCATTGTAACTATTCGTTCACAACAATGTGTTTATGCAACAATTAAATTACTGATAAGCACCAGTAAAGACAAAAATGCTTTATTTCTTCAAGAGGACGTTATTTAACAGCTCTTATAGTCTCCAAAATTCTAATTTATAACTATGTGTATACCACAATAGTTTATCAAATGTTTTATAAGGAAATCCTACACAAGACTATATAAATGTTTTCAGAAAAAACACAAATCAACAACAATTTTTAAATCTTAGCGCTTTGTGCTTGAAATAATATCTAACTCAAATATTCTATATGGAACTTTTTTTTTTTCTTTCAAAATCAGGGATGCAGATGTGGTTGTGCTGATGACACTTCCGGTGAAACTCTGGATCCACAGACAGGAAAGGAGGACCTAGAACAACAGTCAGACTTTTGCAAAATTGGGGATTTTTCAAAACAGTGGTTGTATTAAATGTACAGCTTTTCAAAAGTTTGGTTTCTCAAAATAAGGTAGCTTGTTTCAATAGGTTTCTCAAAGGTAGGTTGTTTCAATGGTTGCTCAAAAAAAGGTAGCTTGCTTCAATAGGTTTCTCAGAGGTTTCTGGTACACTGGTTTCTCAGAGGTTTCTGGTACACTGGTTTCTCAGAGGTTTCTGGTACACTGGTTTCTGAAAGGTTTCTAGTACACTGGTTTCTCAGAGGTTTCTGGTACACTGGTTTCTCAGAGGTTTCTGGTACACTGGTTTCTCAGAGGTTTCTGGTACACTGGTTTCTGAAAAGCTTGTCACAATGGTTTCTGAAAGGCTTGTCACAATGGTTTCTGAAAAGCTGATCAATCAGATAGAGCGGTAGAGGAGACAGGAAAGTCAGAGTAACCAAACTTAGTCAGAGGGATAGAGAAAAGGGGGACACAAGATAGAGTGGCTTTTCAATTAGATAGAGCGGTAGAGGAGACAGGAAAGTCAGAGCGTCCAAAATTTAGCTAGAGGGATAGAGAAAAGGGGGACACAAGATAGAGTGGCTTTTCAATAAGACAGAGAGGTGGAGGAGACAGGAAAGTCAGAGCGGCCAAAAAGATAGGGGAGAGTGGGGAGACTGGACACGATACCTGTAAGACACAATGAAAACAAACATGAATCATTTTTTATAAGAGAAACAAAATGAACCAACATCCACCCAAAGCTAATGTCATTATTATGTGCTTTTACTTAATCCACCATATGGCTATCCTTAACTATACATCTATCAAAAGCCAAGTTGAGTCAAACCCTGGAATTGGCAATTGCCCTGTTTGATAACCCATCAATCAAATTAATAAGAACTAAAAATCCAAAGTGCTCATACACTCGTATTTTATTAAAAATGTATTTAAGGTAAGGAGAACTTTATTATTTCCCTGAAGGGAAATTATTATTTATTATTATTATTATTTATTTATTATTTCCCTGAAGGGAAATTTGATTGTAGTCTCATTTGTCATATCTCCAAAAGTCATCTACTATTTTTAAAAGAATTGTAAAGTCTGATGGCTGTGGGTACAAAAGACCTTCTGAATCTTTTTGTCCTGCAGCGAAGAGAGAGGAGCCGTCCACCACCTTAGGCCCTTTGGTCCATCAAGGTGTTATGAAGTGGGTAATCCATGTTCTTTAAAATAGTCTCCACCTTCTCAGCGTACATCTCTCTACCACATCCTACACTGAGTCCAACTTGAATCCAACCACATAGCCAGCTTTTTAAATTTAGGACCTCAAAGTATTTTACAAAAAGAGAAGAATTTTTTTTTACAAAAAAATTTTAGACTCTTAGAAATCATCTAAAGTTCCCTTTATAATGTTCATAACCATGTCCTGTTAAGCAATAATAACAATGGATTACTATGCTAATAAAATAATAATGTATTTTAGGAAATGTAATTTCCTTTACTGTGTTTTAAGTTTTCCAACGAAGTAATCACAACGTAAGGAATCACAATGATAAGTAACTATTTGGATATTCATCATTAAAAAAATTACAACTCCACAATTTAATAGTAACAAATTGCTTTCCAATGATTGGAAATAAAATGCAAATAAGTGTATTGCATATAACATTCAAGCTGTTCATGTCCAACTGTGAATATTACATAATCAAAGGGAAAAAATCGTCAAGTTAGTACATGATGAGGGGTCCATAATGTGTTGAATAAAGGCACACTGTATTATTCATGAAAATGTCATTCCTGTGTGAACTTACGTCGAGTCGCCACAAAGCGGTCTGCACTTGGAGACAGGATAGAGTTGGCAAGAAGGAAAATGGAAAAACAGTGACAAGAGATTTTTATTTTAATTGTACAAAACCAGCACATCTCACTGCATTGTAATTCCAACAGTGATCAGCCAGCAAAATTATTTCCATTTGTTTCTGCATTAGTTAAAATAAAGTGTTATTTAGGTCAGGTTTTTAGATAATGTGTTGTGAAAAGTAACAGTAAAAATATATTTTAAAGTTACTTTATTTGTGAACTTACAGCTGAGTCGCCAACAGTGAACAGGGCCAGCAGTAGACATAGCGTTGAGTTCAGGAGAGAAAAGACAGGGACAAAAAGTAAATAAATTTAGTTGCAAAAAAAATCAGTAACTCATAGTTTACTGTAATCACACCGCTTTTCAGTGTGGATCATTAGTTTTCTCATTTCTTATCAAAGTCTACAATCGGTAGCCCTTGATTAGTAAAAGGATGTTACTGCAGCTCCCTTGGCCTGTAAAAAATGTTTAAGATGGAGAGAAAATGCACGAAGGCCCTCTCTTTACTTTGTTATGTATGTTATTGAGGTGAAATACAAAACAGTGAAATGTCATTATAAACTGCAGAGCAAAAATGCAACACTTAATTGATTGCTTAATAAGTATACAAGTGTGAACTTACACTTCAGAGTTGATAGGGCAGGAGGTCAAAGGACAAGATGAGGCAGGAGGAGGGGGAGAGGGAGGAAAAAAGATTTTTAACACACTCAAAAGAACCTCCCTCACAGCTCACTTCATTTAAAGACATTTTTCCTGAATGATTTTCCCACTTTATTATTGTCAAAATCAAGATTCAGCATTTCCCAGCAAATTAAAATGTTTACAAAAAATAATTTAGTACTGTTGTAATATTGTAAGCACATTATTTTCTACTAGGAAAAAACTGTATCCCATCTATGATTTTCATATAGGATATACAACAGTGTTACAGAAAAATAAACATTTCATATCAATTTAAACTCAGTATTTGAAAAATGCATCATATGTTGTACATTATCTAGAATATCACGTTGTTTAACAGGATTAAGCTCAACATTAATCGAGTTATTCTTATTTTGTTTGTTGTCAGTCTTGCTTAAAACACTTATACTTACCAACAAGTGCACTGGAGTGGATGTATCTTCTGTTTGTTTGAGACAAGAAACAATACATTAGTGTTTTCTGACAGATAGCACACTAAAAACAACTGGCCTGTAAAGAAAACTAACATTATTACAGTACTTGGGCTAATTGAAAACTAAACAGCTCCAACAGATCACTTGGCTGTTAGCTGCAGCTGAAAATGTCCCATAATATATACTGTATTAAAGTATTTATCCCTCAGATAAAATATCTTTGCTGTGGTGTTAGCACATCACCAATATCCAAATTAACAGCTTGTGATCAAAGGTAAATTAGGTACAGTATAATGTGAGGTACAGCAGCAGCCAGTGAGACAGAGACAGCCCAGGAGTCGGTTCACCAACTTCAAGGCAGCTAACTATCCACCCATTAACTCAATATTAAGATAAGAACTTTATAGATCCCTAAATGGAAATTCAACTGGAATATATTTATTATTTGGAACTTCGTATTGTTAAACATTAAATACTGAATTAATTTTATGTTTTGCAATGTAAATATCTCTATCAACCCCATCATGAATAACACCTTCAATAATAGAGGACCATCTAGTGTCATTCTGACACATAAAAAAAGAAAAACCACTCACATTTGTGTTATAACTGGATGCTTGCTAAATGCAGCCTATATTTTAATACATCTACAATGGCTGATAAAAAGTGACCAGGAGCTAAACAGCTGACGTCCCCAGACCAATTCCCCAGCTATGACTCAGTCACAGTGATGAACTGTCTGTCTACTACCTGTAGCAACAGCGCTAGCTTCAGTAGTAAGTTAATACTTGACAATATTAGTATCCCCTACAGTCCAAATGTCAGTAAACTCTACAAACTGCACATCACATTATTTTGTGCATTTCTCAGCTGGCTAATGATTCAGCCCCATAAATGACGGAATGTTAGCTTTAGCGTTAGCTCGACGCTAACTCCGCTAGCTTGACGCTAACTCCGCTAGCTCGGTGCTAACTCCGCTAGCTCGACGCTAACACTGTTAGCATAAGCTTTTTCAAGTCAACATCTCGACCACTTCAATCATGAATGAACTCTTCATCGATTATAACTCAAACCAGTGCCATTTTGACAGGTTAAATCCCATTTTTTAACGTTTAGACGTTGACAGAGACTCAGCTCTGACTCACCCTTCTGTAAGATGCAGCAGGATAGCGCGAGCCAAGGCGGAGTCCCGGTAGAAATGTTTGAGGCGTTCAGGGACACTCGGAAATTTCACACTTCACTCGACAAGGTGGTTAACACAGTGGTTAACTTAATCCACACATTGTGGGAAATAGAAATTCATTAAAAAATTAACAGCAAAAAAATTATTGTCATACCAGCATAATGAATGTGAAAATGACAGCAAAAATACAACTGATAGGACCTAAAAAAAAACCTAGGAGGATTTGAGTAAGAAGTTGTAGAAGTTTTAGTGGTAGTAGTAGTAGTAGTAGTAAAATGAATAGTGGTAGAAGTGATAGAAGTAGTCATATTAGCGTTAGTACTTGTCATAGTACTTATAGTGGGTTTAGAATAGAAGGAGATGTGGGAGGGATAAAAAACTGGGGAAAAGGATAGAGTGGAGATCTCTGTCAAATTGTACTGACATGTTGCTGTCTGTGTAATTACTTCAAATAAAGAAAGTTATGTTTAAAGAAAAAGAATAGAAGGAGATGTAGAGGGATACAAGTTGCAGTTGTAGAGCTAGTCATAGTAGTAGTAGTTGAAGTGGTGGTAGTAGTAGTGGAAGTGGTAGCTGTAGTCGAATAAGTGGTCGTAGTAGTTTTAGAAGTGGTAGAAGTACTGGTGGTATAAATGTTAGTAGTATATGTAGTAAAAGTGGAGTACTACTAAAAGAGATGTTACAATTAGAAGTGGTGTGTGTGTGCGAGTAGCTCTTATAGACACAAAGACAGTACTGCACACACATGATCAAAGTTAAACTTCAGTGGCAGTATGAATCACCAATATGCTGTGTACTGAGCCTGGCTTCATGTGTCTCATATGTCTGTTAGAAGCAGCTTTCCAGTCAGCTGTGTGTCTCCAGGTGCACTAATTGGTTGCTATGGGGACCGTAGATGCAGGAGAAAGGAGCCTTGAAGCTGAGAAACAAACTTCCAGACTATGCTCATCCTCTGTAACAGCTATATTCATGCCAAGGAGGTTGTGAGAGCCACAAGACTCTGCTGAACACATTAATACAATTTATTATCACAATCCTCAAAACACCCCATAATATCTCCAATGAGCTGAATTTTTGAAGCCCAGAATGGTTTCTGTAGCTCAAAGTTTGTGGGTGGAGATAGGTGGTGAAGCAGACACATATTAACTGTGTGTACAAGCAAGTTTGAATGAAGAAGGAAATTGCCTTAAAAGGCAGGAAGGTGAGAAGTGGCATAAGTTTAAGTTGTAGTACTAGAAGTAGTATGATGAGAAGTCAAGTCGTGATACTAGTAGTCATGTAAGCAGTAGAAGTAGTTTGAGAATAAAAGAAGTATCAGTAAAGTAGTAGAGAAAGTAGAAATAGTAGCAATAGCAGTAGTAGAGAAAGTAGAAATAGGAGCAATAGCAGTTGAAGTAGAGGGGAAAGTACTTTAATTGACATTAGCAGTAGTTGTAGCTCTAGAGGTGGGATTTTGTTTGAAGGATGGAATAATGCATAAATATTTAAACTAATTTAAACTGGGAAAAGTTAAATAATCAAAAATCCTCAAGAATCATTAAGATTTTAAATATCAGAAAGGTATGAATGAGTTTAAATTAGTTTACAAATTAAATAATGAATCATCACTGAGTGACCTTAAAAATTGAAATATGTAAATGAATAAAAATCCTAAATACACCCCATAATGTCCTCAATGAGCCGAATTCTTGGAGCCCTGAATGGTTTCTATAGGTCAAAGTTTGTGGGAGGAGATAGGGGCTTAATCTTTTTCAGGTGCTCTGGTGAAGGGTTTTAAATGTAACACTCAGTGCTCTGTATACTGAGCCTGGCTTCATGTGCCTCAAATGGCCGTTAGAAGCAGCTTTTCAGTCAGCTGTGTGTCTCCAGGTGCACTAATTGGTTGCTATGGGGACCATAGATGCAGGAGAAAGGAGCCTTGAAGCTGAGAAACAAAATCCCAGACTATGCTCATCCTCTGTAACAGCTATATTCATGATAAGGAGGTTGTGAGAACCACAAGACTCTGCTGAAGACATTAATACAATTTATTATCACAATCCTTAAAACACCCCATAATATCTTCAATGAGCTGAATTTTTGAAGCCCAGAATGGTTTCTGTAGCTCAAAGTTTGTAGGTGGAGATAGGTGGTGAAGCAGACACATATTAACGGTGTGTACAAGCAGCTGAACTGCAAGGTAGACCTCACAAAGCAACAAGTACAAGAATGTGTGTGTGTGTGTGTGTGTGTGTGTGTCTCGTTAATGATTGCATCCTAAACAGCTGTAAGATCAAAGCCATGAACTGACCTATTGTTTGAATGGAGAGGCTGCTGAACTGCAGTGAATTTAAGGTTCTGAACTTCTTCACATAGCACGATTTCCTTAAGTCCCAGAATGAAAATAAGAACATCGTACGAATCCTCCGTCCTTCATGAACACAATGATGTGTTTTTCATGTCTGTACTTCGAAAAATGAGGCCACAACAGCGAGTTAAAAAAGTCTGAGCCTGAGCGATGATCCGGATTTTCTTGGAGAAAAATAACATTACAGTCAATGGGAGAGATTTCTGCCTTTTTGGACAGTTGGTCACCTGCTGGCCAAAGGGTACGATTTAATGATTTGAAACCTCTTTTGTGAGAAGCAGGACACATATACCTCCATTTTGATGTATTATTTGTGTCAGTGGAGTGAGATTTGTGGGCGTGGGAGCGATATATTCGAGCGAGGTTCTGTCGATCAGAGACGAGGTCTGCACTCTAGCTGATGACATCATCACTCTAAACTCTCCAATACACACCCATTATAAAGCTTGAAATTTGCTGAAAACCACAAGTTGCTTAAAGCTAAATTGTGGAAAAACTGTAAAAGATATCAAAAAACTGAGTACAACTATAATAGTCGACAAGTGAATGAACATTTTAAAGCAAAAATGAGGTCTCTAGGTGAAAGTATGCTGAAGTTATAAGGTCTAGAAGGTGGAAGAATGAAAGGAAGAAGTTGAAGATTTCCCCATTGACTTCAATGTTAAAATTTTTGCACAAAAAGTTAAAAATAACAAAAAGTATAAAGGGTAGAAGAGTGAAAAATAGACGCCATCATGTCCTGAAGGAGTGGAATAGTTTAAAGTTTGAACGGTTGAAATCGCACAAAGTTTGAAGGAGGAGAAGCGGTCCAAAAAAGGGACGGAAGAATAATAATAAGTATAATAATAATAAAGAAACAGGAGAATAACAATAAGTGGAAATGCTTAATCAGCATTTCCACTTAACTAGAAAAATTGCATTTCCTTGCAGAAAATGCGTGGAAATGCTGAGTGCTGAAAGCTGAAAAAGCAATGCTAAACTGCTAATAAAACATGGAGAAAGGTATCAATGTTAAAGCTGTTGAAGGGGTAAAAAAGAAATATAAGTTGTATAATTGTTTAATTGGTTAATGGACAAATAGTATGAATATGCGCTATAAAAGGAAATTTAATTTAATGCTGAAAGAGGCTAGAAAAATGTTTAAAATTGCACAAAGTTTGAATGAAGAAGGAAATTGCCTTAAAAGGCAGGAAGGTGAGAAGTGGCATAAGTTTAAGTTGTAGTACTAGAAGTAGTATGATAAGAAGTCAAGTAGTGATACTAGTAGTCATGTAAGCTGTAGAAGTAGGTTTAGAATAAAAGAAGTATGAGTCAAAGTAGTAGAGAAAGTAGAAATAGTAGCAATAGCAGCAGTAGAGAAAGTAGAAAAAGGAACAATAACAGTTGAAGTAGAGGGGAAAGTACTCATTTAATTGACATCAGCAGTAGTTGTAGCTCTAGAGGTGGGATTTTGTTTGAATGATGGAATAATGCATAAATATTAAAACTAATTTTAAACAGGGAAAATTTAAATAATTCAAAATCCTCAAGTATCAGTAAGATTTAATGAGTTTAAATTAGTTTACAAATTAATTAATAAATCATCACTGAGTGACTTTAAAATTTGAAAAATTTAAATGAATTTAAATTCTGAATACACCCTATAATGTCCTCAATGAGCTTAAATTTTAAAGCCCTGAATGGTTTCTGTAGGTCAAAGGTCATGTGAGGAGATAGGGGCTGAAGTTTTTTCAAGCGCTCTAGTAAAGGGTTTTAAGTGTCATCCCCAGTGCTATGTGTGCTGAGCCTGGCTTCATGTGTCTCATGTGGCCATTAGAAGCAGCTTTCCAGTCAGCTGTGTGTCTCCAGGTGCACAAATTGGTTGCCATGGGGACCTTGGATGCATAACTATAGCAGGAGAAAGAAGGCTTGAAGCTAAGGAAACAGGACTCCAAGTAGGCCCTGACGCTCAGCCTCTGTATCTATTCCTGAAAAGGAGCTTGTGAGAACACAAGACTCTGCTAAACACATTAATACAATTTATTATCACAATCCTCAAAACACCCCATAATATCTTAAATGAGCTGAATTTTAGAAGCCCAGAATGGTTTCTGTAGCTCAAAGTTTGTGGGTGGAGATAGGTGGCGAAGCAGACACATATTAACTGTGTGTACAAGCAGCTGAACTGCAAGGTAGACCTCATAAAGCAACAAGTACAAGAATGTGTGTGTGTGTGTGTGTGTGTGTGTGTGTGTGTCTCGTTAATGATTGCATCCTAAGCAGCTGTGAGATCAAAGGCAAATCACTGACCTACTGTTTGAATGGAGAAGCTGTTGAACTGCAGTGAATTTAGGGTTCTGAACTTCTTCACATAGCACGATTTCCTTAAGTCCCAGAATGAAAATAAGAACATCGTACGAATCCTCCGCCCTTCATGAACACAATGATGTCTTTTTCATGTCTGTACTCCGAAAAATGTGGCCACAACAGCGAGTTAAAAAAGTCTGAGCCTGAGTGGGGATAAGGATTTTCTTGGAGAAGAAATACATTAGGTCTAATGGGGAGAGATTTCCGCCTATTTGGACAGTTGGTCACCTGCTGGCCAAGGGGTAAGATTTAATGATTTGAAACCTCTTTTGTGAGAAGCAGGACACATATACCTCCATTTTGACGTATTTTTTATGGGTGTGGATTGAGATTTGTGGGCGTGGGAGCGATATATTCGAACGAGGTTCTGTCGATCAGAGATGAGCTCTGCACTCTAGCTGATGACATCATCACTCTAAACTCTCCAATACACACCTATTATAAAGCCTGAAAATTTGCTGAAAACCACAAGTTGCTTAAAGCTAAATTGTGGAAGAACTGTAGAAGATAGCACAAAAAAGTGAATACAACATTAATAGCCGACAAGTTAATGAACATTTTAAAGCAAAAATGAGGTCTCTAGGTGAAAGTATGCTGAAGTTATAAGGCTTAGAAGGTGGAAGAATAAAAGGAAGATATGGAAGATTTCCCCATTGACTTCAATGTTAAAATTTTTGCACAAAAAGTAAAAAAAAAACAAAAAGTATAAAAGGTAGAAGAGTGAAAAGTAATAGCTATCATGTCCTGAAGGAGTGGAATAGTTTAAAGTTTGAACGGTTGAAATCGGACAAAGTTTGAAGGAGGAGAAGCGGTCCAAAAAAGGTACGGAAGAATAATAATAAGTTGAATAAAGAAACAGGAGAATAACAATAAGTGGAAATGCTGTGTCAGCATTTCCACTTAACTAGAAAAATTGCATTTCCTTGCAGAAAATGCGTGGAAATGCTGAGTGCTGAAAGTTGAAAAAGCAATGCTAAACTGCTAATAAAACATGGAGAAATGTATAAATGTTAAAGCTGTTGAAGGGGTGTGAAAGAAATGTAAGTTGGATAATTGATTAATTGGTTGAAGGACAAATAGTATGAATATGCTCTATAAAAGGAAATTTTATTCATGCTGAAAGAGGCTAGAAAAATGTCGAAAATTGCACAAAGTTTGAATGAAGAAGTAAATTGCCTTAAAAGGCAGGAAGGTGAGAAGTGGCATAAGTTTAATTTTTTAAGTATTAGAAAGGTTTGAATCAGTTTGAATCAGTTCAAATTAGTTTGAAAAATTAAATGATAAATCATCACTGAGTGACTTTAAAATGTGAAAAATCTAAATGTATATAAATCCTAAATACACCCCCTAATGTCCTCAATGAGCTCAAATTTTAAAGCCCTGAATGGTTTCTGTAGGTCAAAGGTCATGTGAGGAGATAGGGGCTGAAGTTTTTTCAAGCGCTCTAGTAAAGGGTTTTAAGTGTCATCCCCAGTGCTATGTGTGCTGAGCCTAGCTTCATGTGTCTCATATGGCCATTAGAAGCAGCTTTCCAGTCAGCTGTGTGTCTCCAGGTGCACTAATTGGTTGCCATGGGGACCTTGGATGCATAACTATAGCAGGAGAAAGAAGGCTTGAAGCTAAGGAAACAGGACTCCAAGTAGGCCCTGACGCTCATCCTCTGTATCTATTCCTGATAAGGAGCTTGTGAGAACACAAGACTCTGCTAAACACATTAATACAATTTATTATCACAATCCTCAAAACACCCCATAATATCTTCAATGAGCTGAATTTTAGAAGCCCAGAATGGTTTCTGTAGCTCAAAGTTTGTGGGTGGAGATAGGTGGCGAAGCAGACACATATTAACTGTGTGTACAAGCAGCTGAACTGCAAGGTAGACCTCATAAAGCAACAAGTACAAGAATGTGTGTGTGTGTGTGTGTGTGTGTGTGTGTGTGTGTGTGTGTGTGTGTCTCGTTAATGACTGCATCCTAAACAGCTGTGAGATCAAAGGCAAATCACTGACCTACTGTTTGAATGAGAAGCAGCTGAACTACAGAGGATTTAGAGGCTCTAAACTTCTTCACATAGCGTGATTTCCTTAAGTCACAGAATGAAAATAAGAACATCGTACGAATCCTCCGCCCTTCATGAACACAATGATGTCTTTTTCATGTCTGTACTCCGAAAAATGTGGCCACAACAGCGAGTTAAAAAAGTCTGAGCCTGAGTGGGGATAAGGATTTTCTTGGAGAAGAAATACATTAGGTCTAATGGGGAGAGATTTCCGCCTATTTGGACAGTTGGTCACCTGCTGGCCAAGGGGTACGATTTAATGATTTGAAACCTCTTTTGTGAGAAGCAGGACACATATACCTCCATTTTGATGTATTATTTGTGTCAGTGGAGTGAGATTTGTGGGCGTGGGAGCGATATATTCGAGCGAGGTTCTGTCGATCAGAGACGAGGTCTGCACTCTAGCTGATGACATCATCACTCTAAACTCTCCAATACACACCCATTATAAAGCTTGAAATTTGCTGAAAACCACAAGTTGCTTAAAGCTAAATTGTGGAAAAACTGTAAGAGATATCAAAAAACTGAGTACAACTGTAATAGTCGACAAGTGAATGAACATTTTAAAGCAAAAATGAGGTCTCTAGGTGAAAGTATGCTGAAGTTATAAGGTCTAGAAGGTGGAAGAATAAAAGGAAGAATTTGAAGATTTCCCCATTGACTTCAATGTTAAAATTTTTGCACAAAAAGTTAAAAAAAACAAAAAGTATAAATGTTAGAAAAGTGAAAAGTAATAGCAAACGTGTCCTGAAGGAGTGGAATAGTTTAAAGTTTGAACGGTTGAAATCGCACAAACTGGGAAGGAGTTGAAAGCGGACGAAAAACGGCGGAAGAATAATAATAACTAGAAAAATTGCATTTCCTTGCAGAAAATGCGTGGAAATGCTGAGTGCTGAAAGCTGAAAAAGCAATGCTAAACTGCTAATAAAACATGGAGAAAGGTATCAATGTTAAAGCTGTTGAAGGGGTAAAAAAGAAATATAAGTTGTATAATTGTTTAATTGGTTAATGGACAAATAGTATGAATATGCGCTATAAAAGGAAATTTAATTTCATGCTGAAAGAGGCTAGAAAAATGTTTAAAATTGCACAAAGTTTGAATGAAGAAGGAAATTGCCTTAAAAGGCAGGAAGGTGAGAAGTGGCATAAGTTTAAGTTGTAGTACTAGAAGTAATATGATAAGAAGTCAAGTAGTGATACTAGTAGTCATGTAAGCTGTAGAAGTAGGTTTAGAATAAAAGAAGTATGAGTCAAAGTAGTAGAGAAAGTAGAAATAGTAGCAATAGCAGCAGTAGAGAAAGTAGAAAAAGGAACAATAACAGTTGAAGTAGAGGGGAAAGTACTCATTTAATTGACATCAGCAGTAGTTGTAGCTCTAGAGGTGGGATTTTGTTTGAATGATGGAATAATGCATAAATATTAAAACTAATTTTAAACAGGGAAAATTTAAATAATTCAAAATCCTCAAGTATCAGTAAGATTTAATGAGTTTAAATTAGTTTACAAATTAATTAATAAATCATCACTGAGTGACTTTAAAATTTGAAAAATTTAAATGAATTTAAATTCTGAATACACCCTATAATGTCCTCAATGAGCTTAAATTTTAAAGCCCTGAATGGTTTCTGTAGGTCAAAGGTCATGTGAGGAGATAGGGGCTGAAGTTTTTTCAAGCGCTCTAGTAAAGGGTTTTAAGTGTCATCCCCAGTGCTATGTGTACTGAGCCTGGCTTCATGTGTCTCATATGGCCATTAGAAGCAGCTTTCCAGTCAGCTGTGTGTCTCCAGGTGCACTAATTGGTTGCCATGGGGACCTTGGATGCATAACTATAGCAGGAGAAAGAAGGCTTGAAGCTAAGGAAACAGGACTCCAAGTAGGCCCTGACGCTCAGCCTCTGTATCTATTCCTGAAAAGGAGCTTGTGAGAACACAAGACTCTGCTAAACACATTAATACAATTTATTATCACAATCCTCAAAACACCCCATAATATCTTAAATGAGCTGAATTTTAGAAGCCCAGAATGGTTTCTGTAGCTCAAAGTTTGTGGGTGGAGATAGGTGGCGAAGCAGACACATATTAACTGTGTGTACAAGCAGCTGAACTGCAAGGTAGACCTCATAAAGCAACAAGTACAAGAATGTGTGTGTGTGTGTGTGTGTGTGTCTCGTTAATGATTGCATCCTAAGCAGCTGTGAGATCAAAGGCAAATCACTGACCTACTGTTTGAATGGAGAAGCTGTTGAACTGCAGTGAATTTAGGGTTCTGAACTTCTTCACATAGCACGATTTCCTTAAGTCCCAGAATGAAAATAAGAACATCGTACGAATCCTCCGCCCTTCATGAACACAATGATGTCTTTTTCATGTCTGTACTCCGAAAAATGTGGCCACAACAGCGAGTTAAAAAAGTCTGAGCCTGAGTGGGGATAAGGATTTTCTTGGAGAAGAAATACATTAGGTCTAATGGGGAGAGATTTCCGCCTATTTGGACAGTTGGTCACCTGCTGGCCAAGGGGTAAGATTTAATGATTTGAAACCTCTTTTGTGAGAAGCAGGACACATATACCTCCATTTTGACGTATTTTTTATGGGTGTGGATTGAGATTTGTGGGCGTGGGAGCGATATATTCGAGCGAGGTTCTGTCGATCAGAGATGAGCTCTGCACTCTAGCTGATGACATCATCACTCTAAACTCTCCAATACACACCCATTATAAAGCCTGAAAATTTGCTGAAAACCACAAGTTGCTTAAAGCTAAATTGTGGAAGAACTGTAGAAGATAGCACAAAAAAGTGAATACAACATTAATAGCCGACAAGTTAATGAACATTTTAAAGCAAAAATGAGGTCTCTAGGTGAAAGTATGCTGAAGTTATAAGGCTTAGAAGGTGGAAGAATAAAAGGAAGATATGGAAGATTTCCCCATTGACTTCAATGTTAAAATTTTTGCACAAAAAGTAAAAAAAAAACAAAAAGTATAAAAGGTAGAAGAGTGAAAAGTAATAGCTATCATGTCCTGAAGGAGTGGAATAGTTTAAAGTTTGAACGGTTGAAATCGGACAAAGTTTGAAGGAGGAGAAGCGGTCCAAAAAAGGTACGGAAGAATAATAATAAGTTGAATAAAGAAACAGGAGAATAACAATAAGTGGAAATGCTTAATCAGCATTTCCACTTAATAAAGAAACGGGAGAATAACAATAAGTGGAAATGCTTAATCAGCATTTCCACTTAACTAGAAAAATTGCATTTCCTTGCAGAAAATGCGTGGAAATGCTGAGTGCTGAAAGCTGAAAAAGCAATGCTAAACTGCTAATAAAACATGGAGAAAGGTATAAATGTTAAAGCTGTTGAAGGGGTGTGAAAGAAATGTAAGTTGGATAATTGATTAATTGGTTGAAGGACAAATAGTATGAATATGCTCTATAAAAAGAAATTTTATTCATGCTGAAAGAGGCTAGAAAAATGTCTAAAATTGCACAAAGTTTGAATGAAGAAGGAAATTGCCTTAAAAGGCAGGAAGGTGGGAAGTGGCATAAGTTTAATTTTTTAAGTATTAGAAAGGTTTGAATCAGTTTGAATCAGTTCAAATTAGTTTGAAAAATTAAATGATAAATCATCACTGAGTGACTTTAAAATGTGAAAAATCTAAATGTATATAAATCCTAAATACACCCTATAATGTCCTCAATAGCTCAAATTTTAAAGCCCTGAATGGTTTCTGTAGGTCAAAGGTCATGTGAGGAGATAGGGGCTGAAGGTTTTTCAAGCGCTCTAGGAATGGGTTTTAAGTGTCATCCCAGGTGCTATGTTTACTGAGCCTGGCTTCATGTGTCTCATATGGCCATTAGATGCAGCTTTCCAGTCAGCTGTGTGTCTCCAGGTGCACAAATTGGTTGCCATGGGGACCTTGGATGCATAACTATAGCAGGAGAAAGAAGGCTTGAAGCTAAGGAAACAGGACTCCAAGTAGGCCCTGACGCTCATCCTCTGTATAAATTCATAAGGAGCTTGTGAGAATACAAGATTTTGCTGAACACATTAATACAATTTATTATCACAATCCTCAAAACACCCCATAATATCTTCAATGAGCTGAATTTTTCAAGCCCAGAATGGTTTCTGTAGCTCAAAGTTTGTGGGTGGAGATAGGTGGTGAAGCAGACACATATTAACTGTGTGTACAAGCAGGTGAACTGCAAGGTAGACCTGACAAAGCAACAAGTACAAGAATGTGTGTGTGTGTGTGTGTGTGTGTGTGTGTGTCTCATTAATGACTGCATCCCTAACAGCTGTGAGATCAAAGGCAAATCACTGACCTACTGTTTGAATGACAAGCAGCTGAACAGCAGAGGATTAGAAGCCTGTGAACTTCTTCACATAGCGTGATTTCCTTAAGTCCCAGAATGAAAATAAGAACATCGTACGAATCCTCCGTCCTTCATGAACACAATGATGTGTTTTTCATGTCTGTACTCCGAAAAATGTGGCCACAACAGCGAGTTAAAAATGTCTGAGCCTGAGTGACGATAAGGATTTTCTTGGAGAAGAAATACATTAGGGCCAATGGGGAGATATTTGCGCCTATCTGGACAGTTGGTCACCTGCTGGCCAAGGGGTACGATTTAATGATTTGAAACCTCTTTTGTGAGAAGCAGGACACATATACCTCCATTTTGATGTATTATTTGTGTCAGTGGAGTGAGATTTGTGGGCGTGGGAGCGATATATTCGAGCGAGGTTCTGTCGATCAGAGACGAGGTCTGCACTCTAGCTGATGACATCATCACTCTAAACTCTCCAATACACACCCATTATAAAGCTTGAAATTTGCTGAAAACCACAAGTTGCATAAAGCTAAATTGTGGAAGAACTGTAAAAGATATCAAAAAACTGAGTACAACTATAATAGTCGACAAGTGAATGAACATTTTAAAGCAAAAATGAGGTCTCTAGGTGAAAGTATGCTGAAGTTATAAGGTCTAGAAGGTGGAAGAATGAAAGGAAGAAGTTGAAGATTTCCCCATTGACTTTAATGTTAAAATTTTTGCACAAAAAGTTAAAAAAAACAAAAAGTATAAAGGGTAGAAAGAAAAAAAATACACGCAATAATGTCCTGAAGGAGTGGAATAGTTTAAAGTTTGAATGGTTGAAATCGGACAAAGTTTGAAGGAGGAGAAGCGGTCCAAAAAAGGGACGGAAGAATAATAATAATAACTAGAAAAATTGCATTTCCTTACAGAAAATGCGTGGAAATGCTGAGTGCTGAAAGACGAAAAAGCAATGCTAAACTGCCAGTAATAAATGGAGAAGGTATAAATGAAAAAACTGTTAAAGGGGTGAAGTGTTATAAGTAGAAGTTGTATGATTGTTTCAACCGTAACAGAACTGAAGAAGAAGATGATGAAAAAGAGATGAGCTTTATGGATGTAAAAACACTGGGAGAGGTAAACCAGTAGCTGTATGAATATTCAAATTGCTAAAGAACTGAACTTGAACATTACAGAAAATATGGTAAAGAATTTTAAAGATGGCTGAAAAGGCCTTCATGTTGGAAGAAGTAGAAATGAATGTAGATGAGAAATGAATATATTACACAAATATTTTTAATGTAAAATTTGAATCAACTTGAAAATTCAAATTGAGTTTTTACATAAGTAAAACCAAAACAAAGAAAAAAAGAAAAATATTTTTGTCAATTCTTTCACAATTTGTGAGCAATGAAATGATTAATCATAAAATATAAAAAAATAATTAAAAAAAAAACATCAAAACATAAACACAAAGAAATAGTGCTCCATAGTGCCTTAAATCAAATTATAAACAATTTGTTTGTGAACAGGTTTTGGAAGCAGAAATCTTTACATGGGTGACCAATCTGTCTCTTAAGCTTAAGGTTTTAAGATTGTAGTTGCTGTGATTGTTGATGGACAAAGGTATCACATTTTCAGTTGTTTCTAAAATTGTTTAGCCCAATCATTAAAGGCTCTTCACACAGTTGTTAGACTGAGGCTAACACCCCATTATTTACTGGATTCAAACTCCAGCAGCCCTGTACCCACATTCACCTCTTTTCTTGTGTTTTCGGATTACTAAACCTTAACAAAAGTTGGCTCATAAAATTTGTCATGGCCCATTGAGCCAAGTCCTGTGTTGTGGGCTTTAAAAACAGACCTTGAAATTTGATTTCAAAGTCTGATACAGGACTGTTATGTGTGTTTTTAAGGGTTTAGATTAGCCTAAGACTAAGTTTGCACATCTGAAAAACCTTTATACCTATACATAAAAAAAAAATATGAAAATGGTGACTTGAGAGTTATAAAAAAAATTGTTACTAAAATCGGTCAGCAGTATTACAAAGTATTGCAAAGTTATCCAGGCTTGTGGAAATATACAGGCAAAGTAAGGTGAAAGGCATATGAATTAAATATGGCATTGTAGTATTTTTTAAAGCTAACTGCAGTGAAATGTGGGCCCTCTCATGTAGAAAAAAAAGAAAATTATAGAATAATAAATGATTATAATAATAAAATTAAATGATATGAAACTGAAACATTAAACAAAATCTAAAATGATCAGATTAAAAAGTAGATTTGATAACTTGAAATAAATTGATGTAATGTATTGGTCCACCTTACCACCAAAAGGCTTTTCACAGTCGACCAAGGCTAATACTGTCATCAGCTCATTGTAGTGGACTGACAATCTGGTCAGCATTTTTGTTTGCAAAAATAACTCAGCAGTTTACTGTACAGTGTAGTACAGAAGTATTTTACAGAAATTAAAATAAAAAAAATCAAATCAAATCTAAATTAAAATTTTAAAATAATGTGGAGAGTAAGGTGAAGGATGCAAATGCAAAAGGTGCAAAGTCATCCAGGCTTGCGGAAATATACAGGCAAAGTAAGGTGAAAGGCGTATGAATTAAATATGGCACTGAAGTATTTTTTATAGCATGTATTGGTCCACCTTACCACCCAAAAGGCTTTTCACAGTAGTTAGACCAAGGCTAATACTGTCACCAGCTCATTGTAGTGGACTGACAATCTGGTCAGCATTTTAGATACCAGTGTTTTCTTATCCAAACATTCACACTACTTGTCTTACTGAAATGCTGGGTTGTCTTCACATTGATAGTTTCTTTTTAAAAAGTTTTCTACTATGGAGAATTACATTTTAAGGATAAGCATAAAAACTTTGTTCCTCTGTGAAATACCTTCACACAGCTCGTTAAACCAAGCCCTGTGTTTGAGGATTGTGACGACAACCTTCAGCAGGGATTGTTTCACACTGTAATGCTGGGATCACTTCTGTCCAAAACATTAGCCCAAGACTAAGCACACGTGAAAAATTTCAGTGTACCTACCAGCTGAAACCCAAAGTACATCATTTATTTCTAAAACACGACTTCTCTTGTACGTAAATTTGAGGGATATGGTGAGCATATTAAAGCGAGAAATTCAGCTGCCTGCAACAACTGAAGTAACTGGTATTTTTTCCCTTCATCAGTGTTGGTCATCTTTTGATATAAGGACAGATACACAGTAAAAGGAAGAAAATACTCAAATAAAATAGAACAAATAAAGTCCAAGAAACATAAAGGAAACTTAAAATATCAACAGATATCGACAACCGATCACTTAATGTAGAAAACAGGATTCAAAACAATACAAGAGTAATAGTTGTCCTGTCCTGAAGACAATCAGTCAGTTCCTCAAGTGAGTACTGTGTTCTGTCTGGGCACTTTTTTTCAAAACCAAAAGCAGAGCCCAGTACAGTTCAGAGTGAAGGTTTAGAGTGAAGTAATGTTTTGACCTTTGAGGGTTGTAGGATCGCTGTGTGCAGTTATCAGTGTTCGAGTTGACAGCATCACTGGAGTCAGAGGCAGGAGGAGGAGAGGTTTGAAAAAAACAAACAAAATCCCCTTCACTTTAACTCTGTAATCCTGTGCTAACAGTAATTCTGTACTTTTCTATGTTGGTCAAACATGGTTTTTGTTATGGGGCAAGGAAATACACCGTTACCTCTGGGGAAGTTTAAAGCTGCAGTAAAGATAAACTGATGATGTGAATGTGTTGACATCTGCTGCAGCTTGCTTCATAGGGCTGCAGGACTTGAAGGATCACCATTAGTAGGACTCTGCTGAGCTGCACTGGCTACACCGTGGATGAACAGACAGTGACTTGAAGTAGGAGAATGTAGCTGGTTCAAAACAGGAAATAAACAGAAACATTTGTGTTGATAATCTGTGAAACTAAACACGTTGAATAAATACACACATCATTACAATGAATACCTTCAGCACTGCAGCAGAGCAAAAAATATTTCTGTCCAGAGCAACTTCACCAGGTCTGCAGCAGCAAAGCTTCCTCACACAGAGAGGCTCAAGGCTCAGGGTGGCTGCATGATGTCCATCTTTGGTGCGTTCAGCTGCCTGAGTGTCTAAGCTGTTCTTCCTCTCTTAACTGGCTTGAAGAAGACCTGGGAGAAAACACTGCTGTTAAAGACGATGATATCAGCAGAGCTGTACAATAGCGTCACAAGCATTAATACAGCAGCTAAGATAACTAAGTTCACCAAGACATTACCTCAGACTTTCTTGAAGAGGGGTTTACCTCTTGGAGGTTCAGCAGGAACGAGCCAAGTGAGTGACAGGTACTACAGCATCAGTTCTGCTTCAGCCTGGTGTCTGGTGGTCCTTGAGAGCTGCTTCAGGACATCTGGAGCACGAGCAGGTAAAACACATGTTTGTGTAGTCCATGAGAGAACGGTCCTGGTGGGTGCTGCAGTCTGTCCAGCACAGCGATGATGGTTGTTGAGAGCAGCAGGGGGATGGTGTGGAGGATGTCATCTCTTCTTCACCTCTGACCAAAGACTGGGTTAAACAGCAAGTAGACTGTGTCTTTGAGTGGTCCAAAGTGATGTGTTTACTTCTGGTTGATGGTTTGGTAATTTTTTTCTGCTCACAGTGAGCTAGTCAGGACAGCACTAATGGTCAGGACAAAGATGGTAGAGACAACTGAAGAAGAAAAAAAAAATACCCAAACAAAAGGAAACTTGGCTTTACTCTACTGTACCTACAGGTGATGTGTTTACTTTTGGTTGACAGTTTGATAATATTTTCAGTTTACATTGAGCTAGTTTGGACATCACTAATGGAGGTCAGGCCAAAGATGTAGGATACAACTGAAAAAATAAAATAAAATGAAACAAAACATACCCAAAGGAAAGGAATCTTATGTTTGCCCTAGTGTACTTACAGCCACCCATGCTAAGAGAGTAGTGTAAAGTTGGGTGGAGAAAAGGGGGGTTTCAGCTGGTAGGTCACAGAACATCAGAAAGTGTGTGTTCATTAGGGAACACACACTTTCTGATGGAGGTTTTTAATTTTTGCTGCTGTATACATTATTGTACACAGCAGCTGAGAGTTTTGGCCTGTGCATTTATCAATCCGCACCCACCCTCCCTATGTCCAGTCAAGTCAAGTTAAATGGATTAACTTGACTTGACTGGACTTGATAAATGCACAGGCCAAAAAATAACATTTATTACATTTGAATAGTTAAAAATTGTACTACCTGAAAATGTTGAAATTAAGCCATAAAAATATTTTTTGCACCAGAAAATTTTAAATTGCTAAAAAAATTTCAATCTGTACTAATAAAAATATAGACATAACATTAGCCACAACTTCTCTGGTTTGTCTTTCCCTTCAGAGCAGTTTCCCTTTATGACCTGAAATGACACAGTGAGTGGGATTGTGGTTACTATAGCAGGTCCGCAGGATACCTGAGGCAAGACATTGCTGCAGTTGTGAGTTAAATGGATTAACTTGTCTGGACATAAGTGCAAAGGCCAAATATCATAACTTTTAACATTCAAATAGCTGAAAATTGTACAACCTGAAAAATGTTGCCTTTCTAAAAAATTCCGCCATAATTTTTTTTTTTTTTTGCATTCAAAAACTTACAATCACCAAACACCAAATGGGCACTGAAAATATAAGCAGAACATCAGCTAAACCCTCTGTAGTTTGTCTTTTCCTTCAGAGCAGTTTCCTCTATGACCTGTTGGATGAAATGACACAGTAAGTGGCGTTGTGGTAACTGTAGTACGTCTGCATGATACCTGAGGAGAGACATAGCTGAGGTCGTGAGATGAAGATCAGGTCCAGCAGTGTGTTCTTGTCCGTTGTAGCAGCAGTGATCAGTTGACCATATCCCTTGGACTGAAAGAAATCCAAAATTGGCTTACTTGCATTAGAAAAGAGATTCTCATTGAAGTCGCCACAGACGATGATGGGATGACAGTCCATGATCTCAAGTGAGTCCAGAAGGCTTCCCAGATTGGACAGGAATGATGACACACTGTAGTCTGGAGGTCTGTACACAGCTGCAATCAGAGCACTTACAGGAGATTCAACCTTCAAAGCCACAAACTCGAGGTCAGTCACATTATTCAGGTACTGTTTCTCCACAACCTGCAAATGGTTTTTCACATAAACAGCGACTCCACCACCTCCTTTACTGGCCATCTGTGGAAAGTTAGTGTAGGACAAATGTCTGTTGCGTTTGAACATGGTGTAGCCCTCAAATTGGAGACTGTCTGCCACAAAGGAGCCCTGTAGGTGAGTTTCTGTCAGACACAAAACATCTGCAAGACACAGTTCATGATGGCTTTTGATGTCATTCACATGAGCAGGTAATCCTTCGGTGTTGTGATGAATGATGCTCACAGTGTCCTGTCTGCTGAGAGAATGCTGGATCTGGAGAAAAGGCATGAGGTGATCAAAGTTAGCTTGCGTCATGGTCTCCAAAGATACAGTGACTGCAGGGTTAGCATGGATTTTACTCTCATCCAAATCAAGCATGTACAGTCCGCTGAGAGAGGTCACTCGACTGATAGCTACGTAGGCCATGCCGGGCTCAAAAATGTGCTTCAGAGAGACAACAGCAGATTTTCTGGTCATACCTTGAACCTTGTGTATCGTGCATGCAAAGGCAAGTTTCACAGGAAACTGTCTGCGTACCACTCCTTTCTGTTGCAGAGCCTCCTCAGATCTCTCGATGTACACAAGATTGTCTCCTCGAGTACGATAGCTCCTGCCAGCTGTTTCATCATCCATCCTGAGACCAAGCATAGTGACAAGAGCAGAACCGTTGTTTTCAGAGCTTATGATACGGCCTACTGTAGCAAATGATCCGTTCACCAATCCTTGAGACACATCAATGTTTCTGGTAAGCATGACTCTAGCACCTACTGCAACATCTAGTGTGTCAGGTAGGTCATTTCTGCTTCCATGACATGGTGCACCTTGTCTTTTCATGTGTCCAGTGTGTGGGTCCTTTTTAAAGTCGTCTGCATCAATGGTGGTGATATCAGAATGGAGCAGAGATAGTGTGGCAGAGTTGTGTGCTGCGACTTGTTTGTTTGTAGCAAAAATGTGCAGGACATCAGAGGGACACCGTTGTGGTTCAGTGACACGCTGTGACAGCAGAGCTCTGTCAGCTTCAGAAATCTCATCTGACCTTGTTTTCACACGGAGTCTGTTCAGCATCTCGGCAAAAGTTTTGTCATCTTTCTGTCGCATGATCTCATCTAAAGTGATCACCTGGAAGTTGTCTCTCCAGAGGTCAAGCTCACTTGGATCATAGACACAGAGTGGTTTGGACTGTCGCACAGGCGGTAGCTGGTAAAAGTCTCCCACAGCAATGACTGACATTCCTCCAAAGGGTCTGTGGCTGCCTTTAATCTGTTTCAGTCTCATATCCACATAAGCAAACAGAGGCTTCGACACCATGGAGATTTCATCAATGATGATGATTTCAGCGTTTAAAAGCTCACACCTGATTTCATCAAGTTGGTTCCCAAGACCTTGAAAAGGAGGTTTCAAACTTCTGGGCAGCTTGAGGAGAGAGTGCAGTGTTGTTCCAGAGATGTTAAAGGCTGCAGTTCCGGTGAAAGCAGTCAACAGCACAGTTGGGTTTGAGATGTCAGCTTCCTCTGCACGTCTAGGTAGTGTTCTCAGAATCTTTGATGCTTCTGAATGAATGCATTTAATGAGATGTGACTTTCCAGTGCCAGCACCACCATTGATGTAGTAGAAAAACTGCTCTGGTTGTGGTCCACAGACTCTTTTTATGCACCAGTCTCTCACTGCATAGAACACACATGCCTGTTTCTGGTTCAGACTCTGATACATTTGTCGTAACTGTGTGGGATCGATTGTAGGGGGCTCTCTCATGACTCTGGCCTCTGTAGCAGCATTTGATTGTCTGCTGTAATCCGGTACATCCTCTTGGACATTTTCACACTGTCTGGGTCCAGTTCATCGATACACTCCAACCTCACCAGTTCAGATTCAGGTGCCAAATTACACCATTCATCGACCACACCTCTGTTCTGTTCAAAGTCCTCGAGAGCAGAGTCAATTTCCTCACTGTTTTTTTCATATCTCTCTCTGTTTCTTTTCACGATGAGTTTCACACTCAGGGGTCGGTCAGAATACGGCAGCTGAACCACACCTCTCTCATAGAATGACTCATATGTGGGAAAATATGGTCTTTTCAGCTCATCGTCTGATCTGTATGGAAGATACAGTCTAAGCAATGTGCCGTAAAACTGCTCAGGGTATTTCTCTTTGGATATGCGGCGATACCTGATGACAGCAGCGTTGTCACTTTCTCGTCTCTGTATAAAGCCTAGTTCATTCAGCAAAGGTACCACTTTCTTGCCCTTGGTCTGTTGTCCATACACCAGTCTGCAGGTAGAAGCAAAATCAGCCATGCACATCTCTTCAAACTCTGGTGATTCAGGTCTGGATTTGTACTTGTCTGTTAAGGATGTCATCCACACATTCAAGCTGTCTGGTGTTGTGTTGTCAAGGCTTGACACAGGCAGACTCATTTTCACTGGGTTGTCATCAGTTGGGACAAAAACCACACTGCGTGAACTCTTTTTCATGTTCAGTGAAGTCACTCGGGCAACAGCTTCTTGTGCTGATACTTCTCGCTTTTTTGAATACGCCTGCATGACCGCTTTCATTTCATCACATTCATTGACACATTCTCTGTCGGAGTTCTGAATGAGTGTTTGCAGGTACTGGCTCACAGAGTTCTCACTTTTACACATGTACGTACATATGTAATGGATCAGACTGTAGTAGCTGAGAATGAACTGCACGTCAATGTTTGCATCCCAAGCTTTGAGCAGGTGAGGGTTGTAGGTGTTTACCCAGCAGTCTTTTGGCTCACGCTTCAGAATGATGTTGCTGGACTGACTCATCACATTCATGTGTTTCTCATACTCATCAGCGGTTAAGTCACAGACAGACAGGAGCTGTTGAAAACTCATGGATTCAGTTTGTGTCTCATTCAGCAGCTGATTCAGTGGTGCAAGTTTCTCTTTGGCTCTCTTAAGTCTCTCTGACTCCTCATCATCACCCACAGGTCTTGTTATCATTGTCTGTCTGGAGGGTGGTTTTGGGAATCCAAATCGGCATCCAGAACTTGCACTTTTGAAACATGTCTTTGAGTGGTTCTTACTGTGTATTTGCACTTCTTTGACCTTTTTGTACAGTTCAGGCTGTTTGTTTGGGTCAGGGAGCTGAGCAGAGATGTGTTTGGACACAAAGTCACACACAGTTTTGTCAGAGTCTCTCTCAAACACAGGTGCACCTTCTACCCACAAAAGACCATGTATATGAGGACTTCCTCTGTGCTGAAACTCGAGACGCCAAAAGAAGTCAAAAACTTTGCCCAGGGGTTGTGCAGGAGACATGATCAGATCTCTGTACAGTGCTTCAACACGCTTGTCAAACATGCGCATCGTTGTCACAGGATTGCTTCTCAGAATGTCACACTTTGTGGACCAGTCGAGCTCTTCAAAATTCACCTCCTCACCTTGTTGTAATTTTATTGCAATAATCACCTCAGGCCAACGCATTTCTGCTGCAGAAAATGTGACAAAGAAAGAAGGACTGCCCAACTGTCTGATCATAGCAAACAGATCTTTTGTAGTTTTGTCCCAGTAGGCTGGTGTTCCTCTGAGCGGCTGCATAAATCTGATAGCATCTCTGTTTCTCACCAGTCTCTCCACTTCGTATTTGTCTCTCAACATTCTGGATGTTATTTTACGTCCGTCTCTGGTCAAAGGTTTGCCTTTGCGTAACTGTATTGACATGCTGGAGGTAGCCAAGTGTATTTCAGTCACAAACTGTGCAAAGAACAGGTAGTTGGTATCTTTGGCAAAGCGATCATTGACACCAAAGAGCCTTGCTTTAAAATAACTACTGGGTGATAGTTTCATGGGTCTGTTTTCATCCAGTGTATTCTCACCAGTGGGAAACTGAACAGGAAACGCCATGGCCTCTAGTTTGGGTGTTTTGAAAAAACTGACTGGATTGTTTCTCTCTGCTGGAGCTACTGAGTATGTAGAGTCACTGAAACACAATATCTCCTCAGAAACATCCCGTGGCTGAAGGCACGACTCCAAAACAACACCACCATTAGATATGTCTGCATCCTGTTGTTGTGTCTGATCATCATTGTCCTGGGTCTGACTTTTATCACACAGCTCTGTGTTCTCATCCTCATTTTCAACATTAGTTTCAGCCTCATACATGGCAGCAGCCTCAATTCTATCAATTTCCATCAAATCCTCATCGTCATAGTCGTCATCATTCATTGTGTTATCATCATCCTCATCCTCATCCTCATCACCATCATCAGGAAGTGTGGGGTCACATAACTCCTCCTCATCTCTAATAGTGATGTCTTCATACTGGGGGTGTGTCTCTTTCAGTTTATGCAGAGCCTGCACTAGCTTGGACCAGGTAACAGTCTGAAACAGATGGTGACCTCTGTAACTCAAACGTCTCTTCAGTTTTACTCTCATCACCTGAGACTCATTTCTCAATCTGGGTAGAGCCTGAATTGTTTCCTGGACTTCAGAGGGAACACATACAACATTACCATGTATAGCTCTCTGTCTGCCTTTGGGAAGAGGAATGATTTTGGCAAATGTTATGCACTTTGCTATCAGATGTCTCTCCAGTATGTTGAGGTCACACAGCTCAGGTGGTATGTCAGCAAGCTCCAAGTTGTTTGCTATGGCAAGTTTGGGCATGGCTCCATTTTTCAGATGGTCATGGCAGGTGTGACAAATCCACTCAGTCTTTCTCTCATCAGGGACAGTGCACTGATTTCTGCAGTTATCATTACAATCATGGACGTACTGACCTTTGAGACAAGCTGAAACCATGATTGGATTTTTCACATAGTTGGACCTCTTGCACTTTTGCACCTGGTTTGGAAATGAGGCTTTGTGGCAAACTGTGCAAACATGGGTGGGACCAGCTTTAATGTGTGATCTGAAATCATTTATGGCACTTTCAATAAGTGGGTTTTCACTCTCTCTGTCAGTCTCACATGTTTGTCTACTTATCTGTTTGTATTTCTTTGATATTTTCAATGCACACCTCATTTTATGCATAGTCCTGTATGCAAGATTTGTCTTATACCTGTCTCGCATTATTTGTCTCATCAGTTGTCTGTGTCGGTGATAGAATGTTTCATCATTTGAATATCGATGATTGAAGTAGGATCTCTGTCTTTGGCGGAAATCAACATCCTCTGAGTATTTTTTCCTGAAATATTCTTTTCGTCTGCCTTTAAAATCAACATTTTCTCTGTATTTTTTCCTGAAATATAACTTTTGTCTTCCTTTAAAATCAACATTTTCTCTGTATTTTCTTGTGATATATTCTTTTTGTCTGCCTTTAAAATCAACATTTTCTCTGTATTTCCTTGTGATATATTCTTTTTGTCTGCCTTTAAATTCAACATTTTCTTTGTATTTTTTGTTGATATATTCTTTTTGTTTCAGTCTGAAGTCTGTGCTTTCCCTGTATTTAGTTGTGATCTTTTGTCTTTTCTTTGTTTGTATTTCAGGATTGACAGAATATTTCTCACTTGAATAAGACTTTTTCTTTGCTTTGTACGTTTCATTCTTAGCATACTTTTCTCTCTCTCTCCTTTTTTGATTCTCTTTCTTTTGTAATGTCTTTCCAGATCTCATTAGTCTCCTCTTAAATTTCTTTTTTTGCTGTTTGCTTAATTTTGACAGATAAGTGGAGATGTCATGGATAACTTTGTCACTAGCAACGGGGATCGTTATCAATGGTTGTGTCAAATTTGATTTTGTCTGTTGACTTTCCTCTAATGTGACAGAATTATTGTTGATTTGACCTGGTTGATGAGCTTGAGTTTCCATCAAAGTTGAGGCTTTCTGTGACGTGTCATCACTTACAGTAGTGTTCATCTCTGGAGTGAGAAATTCAGGACCAGTTAATGTGACAGAACACTGGTTGCAGTCGATCAGTGGTTCTGGTTCAGTTTCCATGTCCCATTCAGTGTTTTCATGGACATCAGTGTTCATCTGTGGGGCACTTGTGTCATCATTTATCACAGTGGTTGTGACAGAGGGACTTGTGGACGGACTTTCTGTGGCTGGGATAGCATCACTTGGGTTCACATCACAGAACACAACTGGCTTGAGCTCATAGGTACAGGACCCTACTGTGCCCAATATGTGGTGATACCTGATGAGCCTGGCAATCATGTCACTGAGGCGTGTGAATGTTACCATGACAGCGGTACCAGGAGTAGGTGTGACCTTAAGCAGAGGCAAACCGTTAGCTGTCCGAGCATGTGGGTCAAAGAAACCGTACCTGCCATCTCTGGTTCTGAAAACTGCAATGCACAGCGAAGTCATTAGCAGCAAAGCATACTGCACATCTGATAATAAGCAGCTCAGTCCCATCTCGAGGTCCAGAAAGGTATCAACAGCTCCGGGATCTGGATCTCCAAACGTACCGTATCTAGACAGCTGTAACTTGTCAACAGTCTGCATGTGTCTGCGGGCAGGAACCTGGTCAGGGAGCTCATCGGTTGTCAGATGGGCGTGATCAACAGTTTTTCTGATTTCTCTGTACATCACATCACCTTTATCCAAAACACGGTCCAGGTCTGCTCTGGTGATGTGTTCGTTCTCATACAGGAATGCTAGAAATGTCAGTGAGTTACAGGTGCACTGCTGGTTCCTGGATTGGCCGTATTTCAGAGACGCTTGGCTGCGTGACGCACAGACGTTTTTTTCACCTGACTGATTAACAGAGTTAACATTTCTTACCCGAGAAGAGCCTGATACAGACTGATAATTACTGTGGTTTCCCTTCTTAACAGTGTCTGGATATGATACCTGGGTTGAACATGGCTTGTCAGTTTGGGCTACGTAGTTTATCTGACCAGAGTTGGATGGACCGGCAGTACGTGACACACTAGCAAGTTTTCTCTTTACCATGTCTGCATATGTTACCTGTTGTACACCTGGATCATTGGTTTCACCTCTGCGGTTTACCTGTTTAGTGTTAGACGGACCTGCTGCAGGTGACTCACTTGAAACATCACATACTTCAGACTTCTTTACCTCTCCAATGCTCTGAGGAACACCATCTGCTTTTACACGGTCAATGTCATGTAACCTCTGCCAGCGCTGGCTTGCAACCTGTGACTTCTTACTCTTCCTCGGCATTTTAGCTGTTCTTTCACAACAATGTGTTTATACAACAATTTAAAGTTAATGATAAGCAGCAGTATAGGCAAAAGCGCTTTATTTCTTCAAGAGAGATCGTTATTCAACAGCTCTTATAGTCTCCAAAACATGTAATTTATAACTGTGTGTATACCAACAATAGTTTATCAAATGTTTTCTAAGGAAATCCTAGGCAAGACTAAATAAATGTTTTAAGAAAAAACACAAATCAACAACAATTTTTAAATCTTAGAACTTTGTGCTTGAAATAATATCTAACTGAAATACTCTATATGAAACGTTTTTTTTTTCTTTCAAGACCAGGGATGCAGATGTGGTGGTGCTGATGACACTTCTTCTGGTGAAACTCTGGATCCACAGACAGGAAAGGAAAACCTAGAACAACAATGAGACTTTTGCAGTATTAGGGCTTTTTCCAATACAGTGGTTGCATTAAATGTACAGCTTTTCAGAAGTTCGGTTTCTCAAAAAAAGGGTTGATTGTTTACAAAGGTTTCTCAAAAAAGGTGGTTTGTTAAAATAGGTCTCAAAAAGACTTATTGCAAAGGGGTCTCAAAAGATTTATTGCAAGGGGGTCTCAAATGATTTGTTGCAAAGGGGTCTCAAATGATTTGTTGCAAAGGGGTCTCAAATGATTTGTTGCAAAAGGGTCTCAAATGATTTGTTGCAAAAGGTCTCAAAGATTTATTGCAAAGGGTCTCAAAGATTTGTTTCAATAGGTCTCAAAGATTTGTTTCAATAGGTCTCAAAGATTTGTTTCAATGGTATCAAAGATTTGTTTCAATGGTATCAAAGAATTGTTCAAGGATTGTAGAGTGGCTTTTCAATCAGAAAGAGTGGTAGAGGAGACAGGAAAGTCAGAGGGACCAAAATGATAGGGGAGAGTGGGGAGACTGGACAGGATACCTGTAAGACACAATGGAAAAAAACATTAATCTTTTTTTATTAAAGACAAAATTAAATGATCCAACATCCACCCAAAGCTAGTGAGATTATAATGTACTTTTACTCAATCCACCAAGTGGCTGTCCTCAACTATACATCTATCAAAAGTCAAGTTGAGTTAAAAGCTGGAAGTGACCATTGTCTTGTTCGATAACCCTTCAATCAAATTAATGACTAAAAATACAGAGTGTTCATAAGAGATAATTGAAAATGTATTTAAGATACAAAGAACTTTATTTATCCCCTAAGGGAAATTCAATTGTCTGTAGTCTCACTTGTCATGTCTCAAAAAGTCATCTACTATTTAAATTGTAAAGTCTGATGGCTGTGGGTACAAAAGATCTTATGAGTCTTTCTGTCCTGCAGCAGAGAGAGGAGCCGTCCACCACCATAGGCCTTTCGGTCCACCAAGGTGTTGTGAAGTGGGTGATTCATGTTCTCTAGAATAGCCTCCACCTTCCTCACAGTACATCTCTCCACCACATCCTCCAGTGAGTCCAACTTGAATCCAACCACAGAACCAGCCTTTTTAAATTTAGGACCTCAAAGTATTTTACAAAAGTTTCTATTATCCCTGCGCATTTTAGACTCTTTATTTTAAGTTCCCTCTATAATGTTTATAACCATGTCCTGGTAAGCAGTAATAACAATGGATTACTCTGCTGATAAAATATGATGTGTTTTGGAAAATGTAATTTCCTTTACCGTGTTTTAAGTATTCCTACAATGTAATAAGTTATAATGAGGCCAAGCAGCTCCATAAGCTGTAAACAGAAGCATGCAAAGTACCTTAGAAGGATATACACATTTCTAAACGGAGGATTAAATGAATAATAAAATAAATCAATGGCGGCATAGATAATGATTGTCTATTCCATATTAAGGAACATTAAATTTGATTTTTTTTCTAATATAACAGCTGCACAAAAGGAGGTAATCACATTCAATTAGTAATTATTTGGATTTTCATGATTAAAAAATTACAACTCCACAATTTAATAGTAACAAATTGCTTTCCAATGATTGGAAATAAAATGCAAATAAGTGTATTGCATATCACATTTAACCTGTTCATTTCCAACTGTGAATATTACATTATCAAAGGGGAAAAAAACTTAAGTTTGGACATGATGAGGGGTCCATAATGTATTGAATAAAGGCACCCTGCGTTATTCATGAAAATGTCATTCCTGTGTGAACTTACGTCGAGTCGCCACAAAACGGTCTGCACTTGGAGACAGTATAGAGTTGGCAAGAAGGAAAATGGAAAAAAAGAGACAAGAGATTTTTAGTTTAGTTGTACAAAACCAGCACATCTCACTGCATTGTCGTTTCAATTGTAATCAGCCTGCAAAATTATTTCTATTTGGTTCTGCTTTAGTTTAAATAAAGTGTTTTTTTAAAATGGTTTGTGTTACAATGAGAATGTGCTGCAGTTTGTCAAATAAGGACATAGTGTCAGGTTTTTACATGATGTGTTGTAAAAAGTGTCAGTGTTACTTTATTTGTGAACTTACAGCTGAATCGGCAACAGTGAACAGGGCCCGCAGCAAAGATAGCGTTGAGGAGTTCAGAGGAGGGAAAAGATAGAGGGACAAAAAAATAAAATTTAGTTGCTCTCTTAGCTTGTAAAAATGTTTGTTAAAATGGAGAGAAATGCACAAACACAATGAAGGACCGCTTTACTTTTTAATTTCTTATGTAATTGAGGTGAAATACGCAACACTGAAATGTCATTATAAACTGCAGAGAAAAATGTAACACTTAATTGATTGCTTAATAAGTATATACAAGTGTAAACTTACACTTCAGAGTTGGTAGGGAATTTCACACAGGTCAGAGGACAAGATGATGCAGGAGGAGGGGGAGAGGGAAGAAAAGAGTTTTTTATTACACTCAAAAGAGACGCCCTCACAGCTCACTTCATTCAAAGTAATGATTATTATCAAAGTTATAGTAATTATCTGAATGATTTTCCCACTTAATTATTGTCAAAATTAAGATTCAGACTTTCACATCAAGTTAAAATGTTTAAAATAAATGAATTTAGTAGTATAGTAATATTGTTAGCTCACTGTTGTCTACTAGGAAAAAACTGTATCCCATCTATGATTTTCATATAGCATATACAACAGTGTTACAGATAAATCAACATTTCATATCAATTTAAACTCAGTATTTGAAAAATGCATCATATGTTGTACATTATCTTGAATGACATGTTGTTAAACAGGATTAAGCTAATCATTAATCCAGTTATTTTTATTTTGTTTGTTGTCAGTCTTGGTCAAAACACTTATACTTACCAAGAAATGCACTGGAGCGGATGTATCTTCTGTTTGAGACAAGAAACAATACATTAGTGTTTTCTGACAGATAGCACATTAAAAACAATAGGCCTATAAAGAAAACTAACATTATTACAGTAGTTCGGCTAATTGAAAACTAAACAGCTCCAACAGATCACCTGGCTGTTAGCTGCAGCTGAAAATGTCACACATAATACATACTGTATTAAAGTATATATACCTCAGATAAAGTATCTTTGCTGTGGTGTTAGCACATCACCAATATCTAAATTAACAGCTTGTTATCAAAGGTAAATTAGGTACAGTAGACGGTGAAGTTCAGTAGCAGCCAACAAGACAGAGACAGACCAGGAGCAGGTCCACCAACTTCAAGGCAGCTAACTCTTCATCCATCAACTCAATATTAAGATAAGAACTTTATTGATCCCTAAAGGGAAATTCAACTGGAATATATTTATTAATTGGAACTTGGTATTGTTAAACATTAAATACGGAATTCATTTTATGTTTTGCAATGTAAATATCTCTATCATCCCCATCATGAATAAAACCTTCAATAATAGGACCATCTAGGTCCATTCTGACACATAAAAAAAGAAAAACCACTCATATTTGTGCTATACCTGGATGCTTGCTAAATGCAGCCTATATTTTAATACATCTACAATGGCTGATAACAAGTGACCAGGAGCTAAACAGCTGACGTCTCCAGACCAATTCCCCAGCAATGACTCAGTCATAGTAATGAATTGAACCTGTAGCAATGGCGCTAGCGTCATTAGTTAGCTAGTTAGTCAGTCAATACTTGACAATATGAGTATTCTTGTCAGTCCCACTGTCAGTAAACTCCACAGCCTGTACATCATTTGGCATGCTTTATAGTACCGCAGCGGCTTACATATTCACTTTACTTTGTGCTCAGCTGGCTAATGATTCAGCCTCACAGCTGACGGCATGTTAGCTTTAGCGTTAGCTCGACGCTAGCGGCGCTAGCTCGACGCTAGCGGCGCTAACTCGACGCTAAAAGCGTTAGCGTATGCTTTTTCAACTCATTATCTCGACCACTTCGATCATGAATGAACTCTTCATTGATTATAACTCAAACCAGTGCCATTTGAAACGTTAAATCACCGTTTGGAGTGTTCAGAAGTTAGAGAGACTGTGCTCTGACTCACCTTCGTCGAGGTCGGAGAAGGATAGCGCGAGCCACCGGTGGGTCGCGGTATTAATGTTTGAGGCGTTCAGGGACACTCGGAAATGTCAGACTTCGCACGACGGAAAGGCAGTGGTTCAATCAATTCACTTTAATTGTTTTCTAGTACTAATAGTAGCAAGACTAGTTGAAGTAGAAGTGATCTAAGTAGTAGTTGTAGAAGTGGAAGTGGGATTTTGTTTGAAGAATTGAAATATGCATGAATAGTAAAAATGATTTAAAATGGGGAAAATATAACTAATAAAAAATCCTAAAGTATTAGAAAGGTTTGAAGGTTTGAATAAGAATGAGTTTAAATTTATTAGAAGAATTGAATAATGCATAAATAATGAGAATGAATTAAGGACAATTTAACTGAATAGAAATCCTCTGTAGACTCCATAATGTCCTCAATGAGCAGAATTTTTGAAGCCCAAAATATGTCTGTATCTCAAAGTTTGTGAGAGAAGATAGGTGGTGAAGCAGACACATGGTCAAAGTGTGTTCAGGTCGCATAGACAGAGAGAGACTCATGCATGCACATATTTTCTGTGTGTACTTGAAGGTCTCATAGAGAGAGGGAGGCTGAAGCACACACATTGGCTGAGTGTGTGTGTCTCATTAATGACTGCATCCCTAACAGCTGTGAGATCAAAGGCAAATCACTGACCTACTGTTTGAATGAGAAGCAGCTGAACTGGAGAGGATTTGAAGCCTGTGAACTTCTTCACATAGCGTGATTTCCTTAAGTCCCAGAATGAAAATAAGAACATCGTACGAATCCTCCGTCCTTCATGAACACAATGATGTGTTTTTCATGTCTGTACTTCGAAAAATGAGGCCACAACAGCGAGTTAAAAAAGTCTGAGCCTGAGCGATGATCCGGATTTTCCTGGAGAAAAATAACATTATGGTCAATGGGAGAGATTTCCGCCTTTTTTGGACAGTTGGTCACCTGCTGGCCAAGGGGTACGATTTAATGATTTGAAACCTCTTTTGTGAGAAGCAGGACACATATACCTCCATTTTGATGTATTATTTGTGTCAGTGGAGTGAGATTTGTGGGCGTGGGAGCGATATATTCGAGCGAGGTTCTGTCGATCAGAGACGAGGTCTGCACTCTAGCTGATGACATCATCACTCTAAACTCTCCAATACACACCCATTATAAAGCTTGAAATTTGCTGAAAACCACAAGTTGCTTAAAGCTAAATTGTGGAAAAACTGTAAAAGATATCAAAAAACTGAGTACAACTATAATAGTCGACAAGTGAATGAACATTTTAAAGCAAAAATGAGGTCTCTAGGTGAAAGTATGCTGAAGTTATAAGGTCTAGAAGGTGGAAGAATGAAAGGAAGAAGTTGAAGATTTCCCCATTGACTTCAATGTTAAAATTTTTGCACAAAATGTTGAAAAAATCAAAAAGTATAAAGGGTAGAAAAAAGAAAAATACACGCAATAATGTCCTGAAGGAGTGGAATAGTTTAAAGTTTGAATGGTTGAAATCGGACAAAGTTTGAAGGAGGAGAAGCGGTCCAAAAAAGGGACGGAAGAATAATAATAACTAGAAAAATTGCATTTCCTTGCAGAAAATGCGTGGAAATGCTGAGTGCTGAAAGCTGAAAAAGCAATGCTAAACTGCTAATGAAACATGGAGAAAGGTATAAATGTTAAAGCTGTTGAAGGGGTGAACAGAAATATAAGTTGGATAATTGATTAATTGGTTGAAGGACAAATAGTATGAATATGCTCTATAAAAGGAAATTTTATTCATGCTGAAAGAGGCTAGAAAAATGTCTAAAATTGCACAAAGTTTGAATGAAGAAGGAAATTGCCTTAAAAGGCAGGAAGGTGAGAAGTGGCACAAGTTTAAATTGTAGTACTAGAAGTAGTATGATAAGAAGTCAAGTCGTGATACTAGTAGTCATGTCAGCAGTAGAAGTAGATTGAGAATAAAAGAAGTATAAGTCAAAGTAGTAAAGAAAGTAGAAATAGGAGCAATAGCAGTTGAAGTAGAGGGGAAAGTACTAGTTTAATTGACATTAGCAGTAGTTGTCGTACTTGAGGTAGGATTTTGTTTGAATGATGGAGTAATGCATAAATATTAAAACTAATTTAAAACAGGGAAATTTTAAATTATCAAAAGTCCTCAAGTATCAGAAAGTTTTGAAGTATTAGAAAGGTTTGAATCAGTTTGAATGAGTTTAAATTAGTTTGAAAAATTAAATGATAAATCATCACTGACTGACTTTTAAAATGTGAAAAATTTAAATGAATAACAATCCTAAATACACCCAATAATGTCCTCAATGAGCTTAAATTTCAAAGCCCTGAATGGTTTCTGTAGGTCAAAGGTCATGTGAGGATATAGGGGCTGAAGTTTTTTCCAACGCTCTAGAAAAGGGTTTTAAGTGTCATCCCAATTGCTATGTGTACTGAGCCTGGCTTCATGTGTCTCATATGGCCACTAGAAGCAGCTTTCCAGTCAGCTGTGTGTCTCCAGGTGCACAAATTGGTTGCCATGGGGACCTTGGATGCATAACTATAGCAGGAGAAAGAAGGCTTGAAGCTAAAGAAACAGGACTCCAAGTAGGCCCTGACGCTCACCCTCTGTATATATTCATAAGGAGCTTGTGAGAACACAAGACTCTGCTGAACACATTAATACAATTTATTATCACAATCCTCAAAACACCCCATAATATCTTCAATGAGCTGAATTTTTGAAGCCCAGAATGGTTTCTGTAGCTCAAAGTTTGTGGGTGGAGATAGGTGGTGAAGCAGACACATATTATCTGTGTGTACAAGCAGCTGAACTGCGAGGTGGACCTAAAAAAGCAACAAGTACAAGAATGTGTGTGCGTGTGTGTGTGTGTGTGTCTCGTTAATGACTGCATCCTAAACAGCTGTGAGATCAAAGGCAAATCACTAACCTACTGTTTGACTGAGAGGTGCTGAACTGCAGTGAATTTCAGCCTGTGAACTTCTTCACATAGCGTGATTTCCTTAAGTCCCAGAATGAAAATAAGAACATCGTACGAATCCTCCGCCCTTCATGAACACAATGATGTGTTTTTCATGTCTGTACTTCGAAAAATGAGGCCACAACAGCGAGTTAAAAAAGTCTGAGCCTGAGCGATGATCCGGATTTTCTTGGAGAAAAATAACATTATGGTCAATGGGAGAGATTTCCGCCTTTTTTGGACAGTTGGTCACCTGCTGGCCAAGGGGTACGATTTAATGATTTGAAACCTCTTTTGTGAGAAGCAGGACACATATACCTCCATTTTGATGTATTATTTGTGTCAGTGGAGTGAGATTTGTGGGCGTGGGAGCGATATATTCGAGCGAGGTTCTGTCGATCAGAGACGAGGTCTGCACTCTAGCTGATGACATCATCACTCTAAACTCTCCAATACACACCCATTATAAAGCTTGAAATTTGCTGAAAACCACAAGTTGCTTAAAGCTAAATTGTGGAAAAACTGTAAAAGATATCAAAAAACTGAGTACAACTTTAATAGTCGACAAGTGAATGAACATTTTAAAGCAAAAATGAGGTCTCTAGGTGAAAGTATGCTGAAGTTATAAGGTCTAGAAGGTGGAAGAGGAAAAGGTAGATTTTAAGATTTCCCCATTCATTTTTAATGGTACAAATTTTGCACAAAAAGTTAAAAAAAACAAAAAGTATAAAGGGTAGAAAGGAAAAAAATAGACGCCATAATGTCCTGAATGAGTGGAATAGTTTAAAGTTTGAACGGTTGAAATCGGACAAAGTTTGAAGGAGGAGAAGCGGTCCAAAAATCGGCGGAAGAATAATAATAAGTTTAATAAAGAAACAGGAGAATAACAATAAGTGGAAATGCTTAATCAGCATTTCCACTTAATAATAATAATAATAATAAAGAAAAATGGCCGACAGGAATAACAATAAGTGGAAATGCTTAATCAGCATTTCCACTTAACTAGAAAAATTGCATTTCCTTGCAGAAAATGCGTGGAAATGCTGAGTGCTGAAAGCTGAAAAAGCAATGCTAAACTGCTAATAAAACATGGAGAAAGGTATAAATGTTAAAGCTGTTGAAGGGGTGTGAAAGAAATGTAAGTTGGATAATTGATTAATTGGTTGAAGGACAAATAGTATGAATATGCTCTATAAAAAGAAATTTTATTCATGCTGAAAGAGGCTAGAAAAATGTCTAAAATTGCACAAAGTTTGAATGAAGAAGGAAATTGCCTTAAAAGGCAGGAAGGTGGGAAGTGGCATAAGTTTAATTTTTTAAGTATTAGAAAGGTTTGAATCAGTTTGAATCAGTTCAAATTAGTTTGAAAAATTAAATGATAAATCATCACTGAGTGACTTTAAAATGTGAAAAATCTAAATGTATATAAATCCTAAATACACCCCATAATGTCCTCAATGAGCTCAAATTTTAAAGCCCTGAATGGTTTCTGTAGGTCAAAGGTCATGTGAGGAGATAGGGGCTGAAGGTTTTTCAAGCGCTCTAGGAATGGGTTTTAAGTGTCATCCCAGGTGCTATGTTTACTGAGCCTGGCTTCATGTGTCTCATATGGCCATTAGATGCAGCTTTCCAGTCAGCTGTGTGTCTCCAGGTGCACAAATTGGTTGCCATGGGGACCTTGGATGCATAACTATAGCAGGAGAAAGAAGGCTTGAAGCTAAGGAAACAGGACTCCAAGTAGGCCCTGACGCTCATCCTCTGTATAAATTCATAAGGAGCTTGTGAGAACACAAGATTTTGCTGAACACATTAATACAATTTATTATCACAATCCTCAAAACACCCCATAATATCTTCAATGAGCTGAATTTTTCAAGCCCAGAATGGTTTCTGTAGCTCAAAGTTTGTGGGTGGAGATAGGTGGTGAAGCAGACACATATTATCTGTGTGTACAAGCAGGTGAACTGCAAGGTAGACCTGACAAAGCAACAAGTACAAGAATGTGTGTGTGTGTGTGTGTGTGTCTCATTAATGACTGCATCCCTAACAGCTGTGAGATCAAAGGCAAATCACTGACCTACTGTTTGAATGACAAGCAGCTGAACAACAGAGGATTAGAAGCCTGTGAACTTCTTCACATAGCGTGATTTCCTTAAGTCCCAGAATGAAAATAAGAACATCGTACGAATCCTCCGTCCTTCATGAACACAATGATGTGTTTTTCATGTCTGTACTCCGAAAAATGTGGCCACAACAGCGAGTTAAAAATGTCTGAGCCTGAGTGACGATAAGGATTTTCTTGGAGAAGAAATACATTAGGGCCAATGGGGAGATATTTGCGCCTATCTGGACAGTTGGTCACCTGCTGGCCAAGGGGTACGATTTAATGATTTGAAACCTCTTTTGTGAGAAGCAGGACACATATACCTCCATTTTGATGTATTATTTGTGTCAGTGGAGTGAGATTTGTGGGCGTGGGAGCGATATATTCGAGCGAGGTTCTGTCGATCAGAGACGAGGTCTGCACTCTAGCTGATGACATCATCACTCTAAACTCTCCAATACACACCCATTATAAAGCTTGAAATTTGCTGAAAACCACAAGTTGCATAAAGCTAAATTGTGGAAAAACTGTAAAAGATATCAAAAAACTGAGTACAACTATAATAGTCGACAAGTGAATGAACATTTTAAAGCAAAAATGAGGTCTCTAGGTGAAAGTATGCTGAAGTTATAAGGTCTAGAAGGTGGAAGAATGAAAGGAAGAAGTTGAAGATTTCCCCATTGACTTTAATGTTAAAATTTTTGCACAAAAAGTTAAAAAAAACAAAAAGTATAAAGGGTAGAAAGAAAAAAAATACACGCAATAATGTCCTGAAGGAGTGGAATAGTTTAAAGTTTGAATGGTTGAAATCGGACAAAGTTTGAAGGAGGAGAAGCGGTCCAAAAAAGGGACGGAAGAATAATAATAACTAGAAAATGCAATTTCTGAAGAAATTGCGAGTGGGATTGCTTCAGTTGAAATTGCTATCGCTACGCTGCTATTGCGAGTGGCTGAATTTTAAAATATGTGAAAGGTCAAAAGGTATGAAGTATCAGGAAGATTTGAATCAGTTTGAATAAACTCTGTTGAATGAATTGAATAATGCATGAATAATAATTTTAAAAATTCAACGTTTGAAAATTAAAATGATTAAAAACCCTGAAGTATGGGAAAGGCTTGAAGAATCAATAAGGTTTGAATCAGTTTAAATGAGCTGTAATTTGTTTGAAAGAACTGAATCATGCATTAAGATTAAAAAATGATTTAAAACTGGGAAATTAAAAGGTTACAAATCTGGAAGAAAAAAAGTCTTGAAGAATCAAAACGGTTTAAATCAGTTTGAAGGAGTTTAAATTAGTTTGAAGAATTAAATAATGCATTTTCAATGAATGATTGAAAAATGGGGACAATGTAAATGAATAAAAATCCTGATTAGACCCCAAAATGTCCTCAATGAGCTAAATTTATTAAGCTCTGAATGGTTTCTGTAGCTCAAGGTTTGTGCGAAGAGATAGATGACAAATTTCGTCAAATAACGCTATTGAAGGGTTTTAAATGTAACCCCCAGTACTCTGTGTACTGAGCCTGGCTTCATGTGTCTCATATGGCTGTTAGAAGCAGCTTTCCAGCCAGCTGTGTGTCTCCAGGTGCGCTTATTGGTTGCCATGGTGACGATAGATGCTTAACAACAGCAGGAGAAAGGAGGCTTGAGGCCGAGAACGTAATGCCCAAACAACGTCATATTTCTCATCCTCTGTAACTGCTGTCTTCATGATAAGGAGCTTGTGACAACCACAAGGCCCGGCTGAACACATTGATACAACTTCTGTGTTTGTGGAGCCAAAAATGCCTTTGCTACGACAAGTTAAAAACATGTCCAGTTTGTGTTTCCTCTGAAAATCCTCCTCTCAGGTTTACATTGGAGTCAATGGAGAAAGCTGGAGAAATCTGGGGGATGTCTGCGGCAGTTGGTGTCTGCCCAGGCCATTGTGTGTGTCCTATGGCTTTGATTTTTTAGATGAAGAGTGACAGCGAGTTTTGCCATCACTGTACCAAATTTTATCTGTGTAGAGCGAAGTGAGTTGCCACAATCCTTTTGTAAAGACAAAGTTTTGAGGATCAATTTTCAGCCTGTCTCACTCTAGCTGTGAGGTCACCCACTCTAGCGGCCAACATTCCGTGCAATACACACTCATGTTAAAACCTGAACAGGTTAGAAAATCTTTGGACTTTTTGAACTGTCACTGTGAGAAAAGTATGAATGCCATGAAGATGGTGAATGAATGAGTGAATGTCTGAAGATGTGTGAATATTTTAAAGTTTGAATGAAGTTTCTAGGTGAAAGTATGAATGAATGAGAAGAGGTTGAAGTTGACTACGTCTGAAGCCCTTTTCCCATTGACTGCCATTATAACGAAGTTTTAAACTAATCTTTATATTTTGAAAAGTACAAATAAGATTAAAAATGTTGAAGATGTGGAATAATGCTGACGAATTTGTGAATATTTTGGTTTTTGAATGAAGTTTCTACGTGGAAGTATAGAGGAGTTGAAGGCTTTTGAAGTTGTGTGAAGAAAAGGGCCAATTTGAACATTCCGTAATGCATTTCTAATGGGAGAAATCGGTCGGAAAACCTGGAATATCTTGGAAAGTATGAATGTTAGGAAAATTTTGAATACACCCCTGAATGTCCTCAATGAGATGAATCTTTTGATGTTTGAATGGTTTGAATATGTTGAAGTATGTGGAAGTAGTTGAGGGCCAAAAAACGGTGGAAGTTGATATAATAATAATAAAGATATGAATAACATATAGTGGGAATGCTTTGCAATCCCACTCAATAATAATAATAATAATAATAAAGAAAAATGGCCGACAGGAATAACAATAAGTGGAAATGCTTAATCAGCATTTCCACTTAACTAGAAAAATTGCATTTCCTTGCAGAAAATGCGTGGAAATGCTGAGTGCTGAAAGCTGAAAAAGCAATGCTAAACTGCCAGTAATAAATGGAGAAGGTATAAATGAAAAAACTGTTAAAGGGGTGAAGTGTTATAAATAGAAGTTGTATGAATGTTTCAACCGTAACAGAACTGAAGAAGAAGATGATGAAAAAGAGATGAGTTGTATGGATGTAAAAACACTGGGAGAGGTAAACCAGTAGCTGTATGAATATTCAAATTGCTAAAGAACTGATCTTGAACATTACAGGAAATATGGTAAAGAATTTTAAAGATGGCTGAAAAGGCCTTCATGTTGGAAGAAGTAGAAATGAATGTAGATGAGAAATGAACACATTACACAAATATGTTTAATTTAAATATATATGTTTAAGAAAAATAATATTGTCAATCCTTTAACATTTTTTGAGCAATGAAATGATTAATCATAAAACATTAAAAAAAATAAATAAAATAAAAAAACAAAAACATAAACACATAAAGAAACAGTGTTCCATAGTGCCTTAAATCAAATTATAAACAATTTGTTTGTGAACAGGTATTGGAAGCAGAAATCTTTACATGGGTGACCAATCTGTCTCTTAAGCTTAAGGTTTTAAGATTGTCGTTGCTGTGATTGTTGATGGACAAAGGTATCACATTTTCAGTTGTTTCTAAAATTGTTTAGCCCAATCATTACAGGCTCTTCACACAGTTGTTAGACTGAGGCTAACACCCCATTATTTACTGGATTCAAACTCCAGCAGCCCTGTACCCACATTCACCTCTTTTCTTGTGTTTTCGGATTACTAAGCCTTAACAAAAGTTGGCTCATAAAATTTGTCATGGCCCATTGAGCCAAGTCCTGTGTTGTGGGCTTTAAAAACAGACCTTGAAATTTGATTTCAAAGTCTGATACAGGACTGTTATGTGTGTTTTTAAGGGTTTAGATTAGCCTAAGACTAAGTTTGCACATCTGAAAAACCTTTATACCTATTCAATTAAAAAAAATATGAAAATGGTGACTTGAGAGTTATAAAAAAAATAGTTACTACAATCGGTCAGCAGTATAACAACATAAATGTGAATCACAAAAAGTATAAAATGGAACATGAGGAATAGTATGCAAAAATAAGTCGGCAGTTTACTGTACAGTGTAGTACAGAAGTATTTTACAGAAGTTAAAATTAAAAAATAAAAATTAATTTGAATTAAAATTTAAAATAATGTGAAGGGTAAGGTAAAGAATGCAAATACAAATAATGCAAAGTTATCCAAGCTTGTTGAAATATACAGGCAAAGTAAGGTGTAAGGCTTATGAATTAAATATGGCATTATAGTATTTTTTAAAGCTAACTGCAGTGAAATGTGGGCTGTCTGTTGTAGAAAAAAAGAAAATTATAGAATAATAAATAATTATAATAATAAATAAAATTAAATGATATGAAACTGAAACTTTAAACAAAATCTAAAATGATCAGATTAAAAAGTAGATTTGGGAACTTGAAATAAATTGATGTAATGTATTGGTCCACCTTAGCACCAAAAGGCTTTTCACAGTAGACCAAGGCTATTACTGTCATCAGCTCATTGTCATCTGCTCATTTGTTTGCAAAAATAACTCAGCAGTTTACTGTACAGTGTGGTACAGAAGTATTTTACAGAAATTAATATATATATATTTTTAATTAAATCTAAATTAAAAATTTAAAATAATGTGGATGGTAAGGAAAAGAATGCAAATGCAAAAGATCCAGTCCTCCAGGCTTGCCGAAATATACAGGCAAAGTAAGGTGAAAGGTTAAAAACTTAAATATGGCACTGAAGTATTTTTTATAGCATGTATTGGTCCACCTTACCACCCAAAAGGCTTTTCACAGTAGTTAGACCAAGGCTAATACTGTCATCAGCTCATTGTAGTGGACTGACAATCTGGTCAGCATTTTAGATCCCAGTGTTTTCTTATCCAAACATTCACACTACTCTGTCTTGCTGAAATGCTGGGTTGGGAACTTTGTTCCTCTATGTAATCCCTTCACACAGTTCGTTTAACCAAGCCCTGTGTTTGATGATTGTGACGACAACCTTCAGCAGGGATTGTTTCACACTGTAATGCTGGGATCACTGCTGTCCAAAACATTAGCCCAAGACTAAGCACACGTGAAAAACCTGCAGTGTACCTACCAGCTGAAACCCAAAGTACATCATTTATTTCTAAAAACACATCTTCTCTTGTAGGTAAATTTGAGGGCTATGGTGAGCATATTAAAACGAGAAATTCAGCTGCCTGCAACAACTTTTCCGTTCATCAGTGTTGGTCATCTTTTGATATAAGGACAGATACACAGTAAAAGGGAAAGAAAATACTAAAATAAGATAGAACAAATAAAGTCCAAGAAACATAAAGGAAACTTAAAATATTAACAGATATCGACAACCGATCACTTAATGTAGAAAACAGGATTCAAAACAATATAAGAGTAATAGTTGTCCTGTCCTGAAGACAATCAGTCAGTTCCTCAAGTGAGTACTGTGTTCTGTCTGGGCACATTTTTTCAAAACCAAAAGCCGAGCCCGGTACAGTTCAGAGTAAAGGTTTTGAGTGAGGTAATGTTTTGACCTTTGACCTGTGGTTGTAGAATCACTGTGTGCAGTTATCAGTGTTCGAGTTGACAGCATCACTGGAGTCAGGGGCAGGAGGAGGAGAGGTCTGAAAAAAACAAACAAAATCCCCTTCACTTTAACTCTGTAATCAATACAATTGATTGTAGGATCACCATTAGTTAGCTGCACTTGCTACACCGTGGATGAACAGACAGTGACTTGAAGTAGGAGAATGTAGCTGGTTCAAAACAGGAAATAAACAGAAACATTTGTGTTGATAATCTGTGAAACTAAACATGTTGAATAAATACACACATCATTACAATGAATACCTTCAGCACTGCAGCAGAGCAACTTCACCAGGTCTGCAGCAGCAAAGCTTCCTCACACAGAGAGGGTCAAGGCTCAGGGTGGCTGCATGATGTCCACCTTTGGTGTGTTCAGCTGTCTGAGTGTCTAAGCTGTTCTTCCTCTCTTAACTGGCTTTAAGAAGAAGACCTGGGAGAAAACACTGCTGTTAAAGACGATGGTATCAGCAGAGCTGTACAATAGCATCACAAGCATTAATACAGCAGCTAAGATAACTAAGAAAAAATAAATGAACACAAGTTCACCAAGACATTACCTCAGACTTTCTTGAAGAGGGGTTTATTTCTTGGAGGTTCAGCAGGAACGAGCCCAGTGAGTGACAGGTACTACAGCATCAGTTCTGCTTCAGCCTGATGTCTGGTGGTCCTTGAGAGCTGCTTCAGGACATCTGGGGCACAAGCAGGTAAAACACATGTTTGTGTAGTCCATGAGAGAAGGGTCCCGGTGGGTGCTGCAGTCTGTCCAGCACAGCGATGATGGTTGTTGAGAGCAGCAGGAGGATGGTGTGGAGGATGTCATCTCTTCTTCACCTCTGACCAAAGACTGGGTTAAACAGCAGGTAGACTGTGTCTTTGAGTGGTCCAAAGTGATGTGTTTACTTCTGGTTGACGGTTTGATAATTTTTTTCTGCTCATAAGTGAGCTAATCAGGACAGCACTAATGGTCAGGACAAAGATGGCAGAGACAACTGAAGAAGAAAAAAAAAATACCCAAACAAAAGGAAACTTAGCTTTACTCTACTGCATCCACAGGTGATGTGTTTACTTTTGGTTGACAGTTTGATAATTTTTTTCAGTTTACAGTGAGCTAGTCAGGATAGTACTAATGGGGGTCAGGTTAAAGATGACGGGGACAACTGAAAAAAAAAAATAATAGTAATAATAAAAAATTTAAAATAAAAACCTACCCAAAGAAAAGGAAACTTAGAATTGCTCTAGTGTACTTACAGCCACCCATGCTAAGAGAGTGGTGTAAAGTTGGGTGGAGAAAAGGGGGTTTCAGCTGGTAGGTAACAGAACATCAGAAAGTGTGTGTTCATTAGGGAACACACACTTTCTGATGGAGGTTTTTAATTTTAGCTGCTGTATACAGTATTGTACACAGCAGCTGAGAGTTTTGGCCTGTGCATTTATCAATCCGCACCCACCCTCCCTATGTCCAGTCAAGTCAAGTTAAATGGATTAACTTGACTTGACTGGACTTGATAAATGCACAGGCCAAAAATTGTAATTTATAACATTTGAATAGTTGGAAAATTTTACAACCTGAAAAATATTTTCTTTCAAAAAATTCTGAGCCATAAAAATATTTTTTGCACTAGTAAAATTTACAATGACCAAACACATTTCAATCTGTACTGAAAATATGAGCATAACATTAGCCACAGCTTCTGTAGTTTGTCTTTTCCTTAATAGTAGTTTCCTCTATGACCTGTTGGATGAAATGACACAGTAAGTGGCGTTGTGGTAACTGTAGTATGTCTGCACAATACCTGAGGAGAGACATAGCTGAGGTCGTGAACAGAAAATCAGGTCCAGCAGTGTGTTCTTGTCCGTTGTAGCAGCAGTGATCAGTTGACCATATCCCTTGGACTGAAAGAAATCCAAAATTGGCTTACTTGCATTAGAAAAGAGATTCTCATTGAAATCGCCACAGACAATGATAGGATGACAGTCCATGATCTCAAGTGAGTCCAGAAGGCTTCCCAGATTGGACAGGAATGATGACACACTGTAGTCTGGAGGTCTGTACACAGCTGCAATCAGAGCACTTACAGGAGATTCAACCTTCAAAGCCACAAACTCGAGGTCAGTCACATTATTCAGGTACTGTTTCTCCACAACCTGCAAATGGTTTTTCACATAAACAGCGACTCCACCACCTCCTTTACTGGCCATCTGTGGAAAGTTAGTGTAGGACAAATGTCTGTTGCGTTTGAACATGGTGTAGCCCTCAAACTGGAGACTGTCTGCCACAAAGGAGCCCTGTAGGTGAGTTTCTGTCAGACACAAAACATCTGCAAGACACAGTTCATGATGGCTTTTGATGTCATTCACATGAGCAGGTAATCCTTCGGTGTTGTGATGAATGATGCTCACAGTGTCCTGTCTGCTGAGAGAATGCTGGATCTGGAGAAAAGGCATGAGGTGATCAAAGTTAGCTTGTGTCATGGTCTCCAAAGATACAGTGACTGCAGGGTTAGCATGGATTTTACTCTCATCCAAATCAAGCATGTACAGTCCGCTGAGAGAGGTCACTCGACTGATAGCTACGTAGGCCATGCCGGGCTCAAAAATGTGCTTCAGAGAGACAACAGTTGATTTTCTGGTCATACCTTGAACCTTGTGTATTGTGCATGCAAAGGCAAGTTTCACAGGAAACTGTCTGCGTACCACTCCTTTCTGTTGCAGAGCCTCCTCAGATCTCTCGATGTACACAAGATTGTCTCCTAGAGTACGATAGCTCCTGCCAGCTGTTTCATCATCCATCCTGAGACCAAGCATAGTGACAAGAGCAGAACCGTTGTTTTCAGAGCTTATGAGACGGCCTACTGTAGCAAATGATCCGTTCACCAATCCTTGAGACACATCAATGTTTCTGGTAAGCATGACTCTAGCACCTACTGCAACATCTAGTGTGTCAGGTAGATCATTTCTGCTTCCATGACATGGTGCACCTTGTCTTTTCATGTGTCCAGTGTGTGGGTCTTTTTTAAAGTCATCTGCATCAATGGTGGTGATATCAGAATGGAGCAGAGATAGTGTAGCAGAGTTGTGTTCTGCGACTTGTTTGTTTGTAGCAAAAATGTGCAGCACATCAGAGGGACACAGTTGTGGTTCAGTGACACGCTGTGACAGCAGAGCTCTGTCAGCTTCAGAAAGCTCATCTGACCTTGTTTTCACACGGAGTCTGTTCAGCATCTCGGCAAAAGTTTTGTCATCCTTCTGTCGCATGATCTCATCTAAAGTGATCACCTGGAAGTTGTCTCTCCAGAGGTCAAGCTCACTTGGATCATAGACACAGAGTGGTTTGGACTGTCGCACAGGCGGTAGCTGGTAAAAGTCTCCCACAGCAATGACTGACATTCCTCCAAAGGGTTTGTGGCTGCCTTTAATCTGTTTCAGTCTCACATCCACATAGGCAAACAGAGGCTTCGACACCATGGAGATTTCATCAATGATGATGATTTCAGCGTTTAAAAGCTCACACCTGATTTCATCAAGTTGGTTCCCAAGACCTTGAAAAGGAGGTTTCAAACTTCTGGGCAGCTTGAGAAGAGAGTGCAGTGTTGTTCCAGAGATGTTAAAGGCTGCAGTTCCGGTGAAAGCAGTCAACAGCACAGTCGGGTTTGAGATGTCAGCTTCCTCAGCACGTGTAGGTAGTGTTCTCAGAATCTTTGATGCTTCTGAATGAATGCATTTAATGAGATGTGACTTTCCAGTGCCAGCACCACCATTGATGTAGTAGAAAAACTGCTCTGGTTGTTGTCCACAGACTCGTTTTATGCACCAGTCTCTCACTGCATAGAACACACATGCCTGTTTCTGGTTCAGACTCTGATACATTTGTCGTAACCGTGTGGGATCGATTGTAGGGGGCTCTCTCATGACTCTGGCCTCTGTAGCAGCATTTGCTTGTCTGCTGTAATCCGGTACATCCTCTTGGACATTTTCACACTGTCTGGCATCCAGTTCATCGATACACTCCAACCTCACCAGTTCAGATTCAGGTGCCAAATTACACCATTCATCGACCACACCTCTGTTCTGTTCAAAGTCCTCGAGAGCAGAGTCAATTTCCTCACTGTTTTTTTCATATCTCTCTCGGTTTCTTTTCACGATGAGTTTCACACTCAGGGGTCGGTCAGAATACGGCAGCTGAACCACACCTCTCTCATAGAATGACTCATACGTGGGAAAATATGGTCTTTTCAGCTCATCGTCTGATCTGTATGGAAGATACAGTCTAAGCAATGTGCCGTAAAACTGCTCAGGGTATTTCTCTTTGGATATGCGGCGATACCTGATGACAGCAGCGTTGTCACTTTCTCGTCTCTGTATAAAGCCTAGTTCATTCAGCAAAGGTACCACTTTCTTGCCCTTGGTCTGTTGTCCATACACCAGTCTGCAGGTAGAAGCAAAATCAGCCATGCACATCTCTTCAAACTCTGGTGATTCAGGTCTGGATTTGTACTTGTCTGTTAAGGATGTCATCCACACATTCAAGCTGTCTGGTGTTGTGTTGTCAAGGCTTGACACAGGCAGACTCATTTTCACTGGGTTGTCATCAGTTGGGACAAAAACCACACTGCGTGAACTCTTTTTCATGTTCAGTGAAGTCACCCGGGCAACAGCTTCTTGTGCTGATACTTCTCGCTTTTTGGAATACGCCTGCATGACCGCTTTCATTTCATCACATTCATTGACACATTCTCTGTCGGAGTTCTGAATGAGTGTTTGCAGGTACTGGCTCACAGAGTTCTCACTTTTACACATGTACGTACATATGTAATGGATCAGACTGTAGTAGCTGAGAATGAACTGCACATCAATGTTTGCATCCCAAGCTTTGAGCAGGTGAGGGTTGTAGGTGTTTACCCAGCAGTCTTTCGGCTCACGCTTCAGAATGATGTTGCTGGACTGACTCATCACATTCATGTGTTTCTCGTACTCATCAGCGGTTAAGTCACAGACAGACAGGAGCTGTTGAAAACTCATGGATTCAGTTTGTGTCTCATTCAGCAGCTGATTCAGTGGTGCAAGTTTCTCTTTGGCTCTCTTAAGTCTCTCTGACTCCTCATCATCACCCACAGGTCTTGTTATCATTGTCTGTCTGGAGGGTGGTTTTGGGAATCCAAATCGGCATCCAGAACTTGCACTTTTGAAACATGTCTTTGAGTGGTTCTTACTGTGTATTTGCACTTCTTTGACCTTTTTGTACAGTTCAGGCTGTTTATTTGGGTCAGGGAGCTGAGCAGAGATGTGTTTGGACACAAAGTCACACACAGTTTTGTCAGAGTCTCTCTCAAACACAGGTGCACCTTCTACCCACAAAAGACCATGAATGTGAGGACTTCCTCTGTGTTGAAACTCGAGGCGCCAAAAGAAGTCAAAAACTTTGCCCAGGGGTTGTGCAGGAGACATGATCAGATCTCTGTACAGTGCTTCAACACGCTTATCAAACATGCGCATCGTTGTCACAGGATTGCTTCTCAGAATGTCACACTTTGTGGACCAGTCGAGCTCTTCAAAATTCACTTCCTCACCTTGTTGTGATTTTATTGCAATAATCACCTCAGGCCAACGCATTTCTGCTGCAGAAAATGTGACAAAGAAAGTAGGACTGCCCAACTGTCTGATCATAGCAAACAGATCTTTTGTAGTTTTGTCCCAGTAGGCTGGTGTTCCTCTGAGCGGCTGCATAAATCTGATAGCATCTCTGTTTCTCACCAGTCTCTCCACTTCGTATTTGTCTCTCAACATTCTGGATGTTATTTTACGTCCGTCTCTGGTCAAAGGTTTGCCTTTGCGTAACTGTATTGACATGCTGGAGGTAGCCAAGTGTATTTCAGTCACAAACTGTGCAAAGAACAGGTAGTTGGTATCTTTGGCAAAGCGATCATCAACACCAAAGAGCCTTGCTTTAAAATAACTACTGGGTGATAATTTCATGGGTCTGTTTTCATCCAGTGTATTCTCACCAGTGGGAAACTGAACAGGAAACGCCATGGCCTCTAGTTTGGGTGTTTTGAAAAAACTGACTGGACTGTTTCTCTCTGCTGGAGCTACTGAGTATGTAGAGTCACTGAAACACAATATCTCCTCAGAAACATCACGTGGCTGAAGGCACGACTCCAAGACAACACCACCATTATGCATGTCTGCGTCCTGTTGTTGTGTCTGATCATCATTGTCCTGGGTCTGACTTTTATCACACAGCTCTGTGTTTTCATCCTCATTTTCAACATTAGTTTCAGCCTCATACATGGCAGCAGCCTCAATTCTATCAATTTCCATCAAATCCTCATCATCATAGTCGTCATCATTCATTGTAATATCATTATCCTCATCCTCATCCTCATCCTCATCACCATCATCAGGAAGTGTGGGGTCACATAACTCCTCCTCATCTCTAATAGTGATGTCTTCATATTGGGGGTGTATCTCTTTCAGTGTATGCAGGGCCTGTACTAGCTTGGACCAGGTAACAGTCTGAAACAGATGGTGACCTCTGTAACTCAAGCGTCTCTTCAGTTTTACTCTCATCACCTGAGACTCATTTCTCAATCTGGGTAGAGCCTGAATTGTTTCCTGGACTTCAGAGGGAACACATACAACATTACCATGTATAGCTCTCTGTCTGCCTTTGGGAAGAGGAATGATTTTGGCAAATGTTATGCACTTTGCTATCAGATGTCTCTCCAGTATGTTGAGGTCACACAGCTCAGGTGGTATGTCAGCAAGCTCCAAGTTGTTTGCTATGGCAAGTTTGGGCATGGATCCATTTTTCAGATGGTCATGGCAGGTGTGACAAATCCACTCAGTCTTTCTCTCATCAGGGACAGTGCAGTGATTTCTGCAGTCATCGTTACAATCATGGACGTACTGACCTTTGAGACAAGCTGAAACCATTATTGGATTTTTCACATAGTTGGACCTCTTGCACTTTTGCACCTGGTTTGGAAATGAGGCTTTGTGACAAACTGTGCAAACATGGGTGGGACCAGCTTTAATGTGTGATCTGAAAGCATTTATGGCACTTTCAATAAGTGGGTTTTCACTCTCTCTGTCAGTCTCACATGTTTGTTTACTTATCCGTTTGTATTTCTTTGATATTTTCAATGCACACCTCATTTTATGCATAGTTCTGTATGCAAGATTTGTCTTGTACCTGTCTCGCATCATTTGTCTCATCAGCTGTCTGTGTCGGTTACGGAATATTTCATCATTTGCATATCGATGATTGATATATAATCGCTGTCTTTGCCTGAAATTAACATCCTCTGAGTATTTTTTCCTGATATATTCTTTTTGTCTGCCTTTAAAATCAACATTTTCTCTGTATTTTTTCGTGAAATATTCTTTTCGTCTGCCTCTAAAATCAATATTTTCTCCATATTTTTTCCTGAAATATAACTTTTGTCTGCCTTTAAAATCAACATTTTCCCTGTATTTTCGTGTGATATATTCTTTTTGTTTCAGTCTGTAGTCTGTGCTTTCTCTATATTTAGATGTGATCTTTTGTCTTTTCTTTGTCTGTATCTCAGGATTTACAGAATATTTGTTACTTGAATAAGACTTTTTCTTTGCTTTATATGTTTCATTCTTAGCATACTTTTCTCTCTCTCTCCTTTTTTGATTCTCTTTCTTTTGAGATGTCTTTCCAGATCTCATTAGTCTCCTCTTAAATTTCTTTTTTTGCTGTTTGTTCAATTTTGACAGTTTACTAGAAATGTCATGGAGGACATTATCACTGGTGACAGGGATAGTTATAAATGGTTGTGTCAAATTTGATTGTGTCTCCTGAGTTTCCTCTTTGACAGAATTCATGCTGATTTGACCTGGTTGATGAGCTTGTGTTTCCATCAAAGTTGAGACTTTCTGTGATGTGTCATCACTTACAGTAGTGTTCATCTCCAGAACGAGAGATTCAGGACCAGTTAATGTGACAGAACACTGGCTGAAGTCGATCAGTGGTTCTGGTTCAGTTTCCATGTCGCATTCAGTGTTTTCATGGACATCAGTGTTCATCTGTGGAGCACTTGTGTCATCATTTATCACAGTGGTTGTTACAGAGGGACTTGTGGACGGACTTTCTGTGGCTGGGATAGCATCACTTGGGTTCACATCACCGAACACAACTGGCTTGAGCTCATAGGTACAGGACGCTGCTGTGCCCAATATGTGGTGATACCTGATGAGCCTGGCAATCATGTCACTAAGGCGTGTGAATGTTACCATGACAGCGGTACCAGGAGTAGGTGTGGCTTTAAGCAGAGGCAAACCGTTAGCTGTCCTAGCATGTGGGTCAAAGAAACCGTACCTGCCATCTCTGGTTCTGAAAACTGCAATGCACAGTGAAGTCATTAGCAGCAAAGCATACTGCACATCTGATAATAAGCAGCTCAGTCCTGAAACGAGGTCCAGAAAGGTATCAACAGCACCGGGATCCGGATCTCCAAACGTACCGTATCTAGACAGCTGTGACTTGTCAAAAATCTGCGTGTGTCTGCGTGCAGGAACCTCTTTAGGGAGCTCATCGGTTGTCAGATGGATGTGATCACGAACAGTTTTCCTGACTTCTCTGTACATCACATCACCTTTATCCAAAACACGGTCCAGATCTGCTCTGGTGATGTGTTCTCTCTCATACAGGAATGCTAGAAATGTCAGTGAATTACAAGTGCACTGCTGGTTCCTGGATTGGCCGTATTTCAGAGATGCTTGGCTGCGTGACGCACAGACGTTTTGTTCACCTGACTGATTAACAGCGTTCTCATTTCTTACCTGAGAAGAGCCTGATACAGACTGATAATTACTGTGGTTTCCCTTCTTAACAGTGTCTGCACGTGATACCTGGGTTGAGCATGGCTTTTCAGTTTGGGCTATGTAGTTCACCTGATGAGAGTTAGAAGGACCTGCTGCAGGTGACTCACTTACACGTCTCCTCTTAAGCACGTCTGCATAAGATACCTGTGGTTGACATGATGCATTTTCACCTCCCTGTTTCACAGCATCAGACACTTCAGACCTCTTTACCTCTCCACTGCTCTGAGGAATACCATCTGCTTGTCCAGTACTCACAAAGTCAATGTCATGAAACCTCTGCCAGCGCTGGCTTGCAACCTGTGACCTCTTACTCTTCCTTGGCATTGTAACTGTTCTTTCACAAAAATGTGTTTATGCAACAATTAAAAGTTACTGATAAGCACCAGTATAGACAAAAATGCTTTATTTCTTCAAGAGGACGTTATTTACAGCTCTTATAGTCTCCAAAAAATCTAATTTATAACTGTGTGTATACCAACAATAGTTTATCAAATGTTTTCTAAGGAAATCCTAGGCAAGACTATGTAAATGTTTGAAGAAAAAACACAAATCAACAATTTTTTAATCTTAGAACTTTGTGTTTGAAATACTATGCAACTCAAATATTCTATATAAAACGTGTTTTTATGTTCTTTCAAAGTCAGGTATGCAGATGTGGTGTAGCTGACGACACGTCTTCTGGCGAAACTCTGGATTCACAGACAGGAGAGGAGGACCTAGAACAACAATCAGACTTGTGCAAAATTAGGGATTTTTCAAAATAGCGGTTGTATTAAATGTACTTCCGTTTCAAAAGTTTTGACTCAAAGAAAGGTTGCTTGTTTCAAAAGGTTTCTCAAAATAGGTTCTCAAAATAGGTTCTCAAAATAGGTTCTCAAATGTTCTGCAAAGTTCTGAAAAGTTCTGCAAAGTTCTGAAAAGTTCTGCAAAGTTCTGAAAAGTTCTGAAAAGTTCTGCAAAGTTCTGAAATGTTCTGAAATGTTCTGAAAAGTTCTGCAAAGTTCTGAAAAGTTCTGCAATGAGTCAGAGTGGGATAGAAGGGGGATAGAAAGACAGAGTTGCTTTTCAATCAGACAGAGTGGTAGAGGAGACAGGAAAGACAGAGCGTCCAAAACTTAGCCAGAGGGATAGAAGAAAGGGGGACACAAGACAGAGTGCTTTTCAATCAGACAGAGTGGTAGAGGAGACAGGAAAGACAGAGCGATCAAAATGATAGGGGAGAGTGGGGAGACTGGACAGGATACCTGTAAGACAAAATGGAAACAAACATTAATCCCTTTTTATTAAAGAAATAAAATAAAATAAACCAACATCCACCCAAAGCTAATGGCATCATAATGTACTTTTACTCAACCCATCAAGTGGCTGTCCTCAATTATACATCTTTCAAAAGTCAAGTTGAGTCAAAAGCTGGAAGTGACCATTGTCTTGTTCGATAACCCTTCAAACAAATAAGGACTAAAAATCCAAAGTGTTCATTATAGTTGATCAAAAATTAATTTAAGATACGAAGAACTTTATTTATCCCCTAAGGGAAATTCAATTGTCTATAGTCTCATTTGTCACGTCTGTATAAGTCATCTACTATTTAAATTGTAGAGTCTCATGGCTGTGGGTACAAAAGATCTTTTGAATCTTTTTTCCCTGCAGCGAAGACAGAGGAGCCGTCCACCACCATAGGCCTTTCGGTCCACCAAGGTGTTGTGAAGTGGGTGAGCCATGTTCTCTAGAATAGCCTCCACCTTCCTCACAGTACATCTCTCCACCACATCCTCCAGTGAGTCAAACTTGAATCCAACCACAGAGCCACCTTTTTAAATTTAGGATCTCAAAGTATTTTACAAAAAGTTCTATTATCCCTGTGTATTTTAGACTCTTTAAGTACTTTAAGTTCCCTTTATAATGTTCATAACCATGTCCTGGTAAGCAAAAGTAACAATGGATTACTCTGCTGATAAAATATTATGTATTTTGGAGAAGGTAATTTCCTTTACTGTGTTTTAAGTATTCCAACAATGTAAAAAGTAGTAATGAGGCCAAGCACCTCCATGAGCTGTAAACAGAAGCATGCAAGGTACCTTAGAAGGATATACACATATCTAAACATAGGATTAAATAAATAATAAAATAAATCAATGGCTGCATAAATAATGATTGTCTATTCCATATTAAAGAACATTAAATTTGCTTGTTTTTTTAAATATGAGAGATGTACAAAGGAGGGAATCACATTCAATTAGTAATTATTTGGATTTTCATCGTTAAAAAATTCCAACTCCACAATCTAATAGTAATAAATTGCTTTCCAGGGATTGGAAATGAAATGCAAATAAGTGTACTGCATATTACATTCAAGCTGTTCATTTCCAACTGTGAGTATTACATAATCAAAGGAAACAAATTGTTAAGTTAGGACATGATGAGGGGTCCATAATGTGTTGAATAATGGCACACTGTCTTATTCATGAAAGTGTCATTCCTGTGTGAACTTACGTCGAGTCGCCACAAAGCGGTCTGCACTTGGAGACAGGACAGAGTTGGCAAAAAGGAAAATGGAAAAATAGAGACAAGAGATTTTTAGTTTAATTGTAGAAAACCAGCACATCTCACTGCATTTCAGTTTCAACTGTAATCAGCCGGCAAAATTGATTAAGTGTTATTTAAAATTGTTTGTGTTACAATGGAAATGTGTTGCAGTTTGTCAAATAAGGACATAATGTCAGGTTTTTACATGATATGTTTAAAAATGTAACAGTGGAAACATTTTTAAATTACTTTATTTGTGAACTTACAGCTGAGTCGCCAACAGTGAATAGGGCCAGCAGTAGAGATAGCATCGAGTTCAGGAGAGAAAAGACAGGGACAAAAAATAAATAAATTTAGTTGCAAAGAAATCAGCATCTTATAGTTTACTGCAATCACAACTTTTCACTGTGGATCCTTAGTTTTCTCATTTCTTATCAAAGTCTACAATTTGTGGCACTTGATTAGTAAAAGGATGTTACTGCAGCTACCTTGGCCTGTAAAAAATGTTTGTTAAAATGGAGAGAAAATGCACAAACACATTGAAGGACCTCTTCACTTTTTGCTTTCTTATGCAAGTTATTGAGGTGAAATACAAAACAGTGAAATATAATTATAAACTGCAGAGCAAAAATGTAACATTTAAGTGATTGCCCAATAAGTATATATATATATATATATATATATATAAATTAAAGCGTGCATTTCACTTGCTGAGGACAAAACTAAAGAGAAAATGCACCAAGAACAAGCAAGAACTGAAGACAGTTGCAGTAGAGACCTGGCAGAGCAACACTAGGGGTGAAACCCAGCGTCTGGTGTATCTATCTGTCCTAGACAGCAAAGGATTTGCAACCATATATTGCACAGTGAAAGTTTGATGTATGATTTTTGATTTGTCCCAATACTTTTGGTCTCTTAAAAAGTGAGAGGCACATATACAAACTGTTTTAATTCCTACACCTTTCACCTAATGTGGATGTAAATAACCATATATTAAAGCTGAATGTCTGCAGTCAAAGCACATCTTGTTTATTTCATTTAAAGTCAACTGTGGTGGTGTTTACAGCCAGAGAGATGAGTATTATGCTGATGTCCCAATATTTTTGGACCCGACTGTAAGCATGAACTTACACTTCAGAGTTGGTAGGGATTTTCGCCCAGGTCAGAGGACAAGTTGAGGCAGGAGGAGGGGGAGAGAGAGGGAAAGAGATTTTTAATACACTAAAAAAAACTTCATTCAAAATTTATCTGAATGATTTTCTCACTTAATTATTGTCACAATCAAGATTCAGACTTTCGCCAGCAATTTTTTAAATAAATTAATTTAGTAGTGTAGTAGCACACTATTGTCTTCTAGGAAAAAACTGTATCCCATCTATGATTTTCATATAGGATATACAACAGTGTTACAGATAAATCAACAGTTCAAATCAATTTAAAGTCAGTATTTGAAAAATGCATCATATGTACATTAATCCAGTTATTCTTATTTTGTTTGTTGTCAGTCCTGGTCAAAACACTTATACTTACCAACAAATGCACTGGAGCGGATGTATCTTCTGTTTGTTTGAGACAAGAAGCAATACATTAGTGTTTTCTGACAGATAGCACATTAAAAACAATAGGCCTATAAAGAAAACTAACATTATTACAGTAGTTGGGCTAATTGAAAACTAAACAGCTCAAACTGATCACCTGGCTCTTAGCTGCAGCTGAAAATGTCACACATAATACATACTGTATTAAAGTACTTATACCTCAGATAAAGAATCTTTGCTGTGGTGTTAGCACATCACCAATATCCAAATTAACAGCTTGCTATCAAAAGTAAATTAGGTACAGTAAAAGGAGAAGTTCAGTAGCAGCCAGCAAGACAGAGACAGACCAGGAGCAGGTTCACCAACTTCAAGGCAGCTTACTCTCCATCCATTAACTCAATATTAAGATAAGAACTTTATAGATCCCTAAAGAGAAATTCAACTGGAATATACTTATTAATTGGAACTTGGTATTGTTAAACATTAAATACTGAATGAATTTTATGTTTTGCAATGTAAATATCTCTATCATCCCCATCATGAATAAAACCTTCAATAATAGAGGACCATCTAGGTCCATTCTGACACATAAAAAAAGGAAAACCACTCACATTTGTGCTATACCTGGATGCTTGCTAAATGCAGCCTATATTTTAATACATCTACAATGGCTGAAAAAAGTGACCAGGAGCTAAACAGCTGACGTCTCCAGACCAGTTCCCCAGCAATGACTCAGTCATAGTAATGAACTGAACCAGTAGCAATGGCGCTAGCGTCATTAGTTAGCTAGTTAGTCAGTTAATACTTGAAATTATGAGTATTCTTGTCAGTCCCATTGTCAGTAAACTCCACAGCCTGTACATCATTTGGCATGCTTTATAGTACCGCAGCGGCTTATGTATTCACTTTATTTTGTGCTCAGCTGGTTAATGATTCAGCCTCACAGCTGAAGGTATGTTAGCTTTAACGTTAGCTCGACGCTAGCGGCGCTAGCTCGACGCTAGCGGCGCTAGCTCGACGCTAGCGGCGCTAGCTCGACGCTAGCGGCGCTAACTCGACGCTAGCGACGTTAGCTCGACGCTAGCGCCGCTAATTCGACGCTAACAGCGTTAGCGTACGCTTTTTGAACTCATTATCTCGACCACTTCAATCATGAATGAACTCTTCATTGATTATAACTCAAACCAGTGCCATTTGAAACGTTAAATCACCGTTTGTCGTGTTCAGAAGTTAGAGAGACTGTGCTCTGACTCACCTTCGTTGATGTCGGAGAAGGATAGCGCGAGCCACCAGTGGGTCACGGTATTAATGTTTGAGGCGTTCAGGGACACTCGGAAATGTCAGACTTCACACGACGGAAAGGCAGTGGTTCAATCAATTCATTTTAATTGTTTTCTAGTACTAATAGTAGCAAGACTAGTTGAAGTAGAAGTGATATAAGTAGTAGTTGTAGAAGTGGAAGTGGGATTTTGTTTGAAGAATTGAAATATGCATGAATAGTAAAAATGATTTAAAGTGGGGAAAATATAACTAATAAAAAATCCTAAAGTATTAGAAAGGTTTGAAGAATCAGAGGTTTGAATAAGAATGAGTTTCAATTTGTTAGAAGAATTGAATAATGCATAAATAATGAGGATGTTTTTAAATGAAGGACAATTTAAATGAATAGAAATCCTCTGTAGACTCCATAATGTCCCCAATGAGCTGAATTTTTGAAGCCCTAAATGTCTCTGTATCTCAAAGTTTGCGAGAGAAGATAGGTGATGAAGCAGACACATGGTCAAAGTGTGTTCAGGTCTCATAGACAGAGAGAGACTCATGCATGCACATATTTACTGTGTGTACATGAAGGTCTCATAGAGAGAAAGAGGCTGACGCACACACACTGTGTGTGTGTGTGTGTGTGTGTGTCTCGTTAATGATTGCATCCTAAACAGCTGTGAGATCAAAGGCATTAACTGACCTGCTGTTTGAATTGAGAAGCTGCTGAACTGCAGTGAATATAGGGCTCTGAACTTCTTCACATAGCACGATTTCCTTAAATCCCAGAATGAAAATAATAACATCGTACGAATCCTCCGTCCTTCATGAACACAATGATGTGTTTTTCATGTCTGTACTCCGAAAAATGTGGCCACAACAGCGAGTTAAAAAAGTCTGAGCCTGAGTGGCGATAAGGATTTTCTTGGAGAAAAAATACATGATGGTCAATGGGGAGAGATTTCCGCCTATTTGGACAGTTGGTCACCTGCTGGCCAAGGGGTACGATTTAATGATTTGAAACCTATTTTGTGAGAAGCAGGACACATATACCTCCATTTTGATGTATTATTTATGGCTCTGGAGTGAGATTTGTGGGCGTGGGAGCGATATATTCGAGCGAGGTTCTGTCGATCAGAGACGAGGTCTGCACTCTAGCTGATGACATCATCACTCTAAACTCTCCAATACACACCCATTATAAAGCTTGAAATTTGCTGAAAACCACAATTTGCTTAAAGCTAAATTTTGGAAAAACTGTAAAAGATAGCACAAAAAGGTTAATACAACATCAATAGTCGACAAGACAATGAACATTTTAAAGCAAAAATGAGGTCTCTAGGTGAAAGTATGCTGAAGTTATAAGGTCTAGAAGGTGGAAGAATGAAAGGAAGAAGTTGAAGATTTCCCCATTGACTTCAATGTTAAAATTTTTGCACAAAAAGTTAAAAAAATCAAAAAGTATTAAGGGTAGAAAAGTGAAAAGTAATAGCCATAATGTCCTGAAGGAGTGGAATAGTTTAAAGTTTGAACGGTTGAAATCGGACAAAGTTTGAAGGAGGAGAAGCGGTCCAAAAAAGGGACGGAAGAATAATAAGTTTAACTAGAAAATGCAATTTCTGAAGAAATTGCGAGTGGGATTGGTTCAGTTGAAATTGCTAGCGCTACGCTGCTATTGCGAATGGCTGAATTTTAAAATATGTGAAAGGTCAAAAGGTATGAAGAATCAGGAAGATTTGAATCAATTGGAATAAACTCAATTGAATGAATTGAATAATGCATGAATAACAATTTTAGAAAATTCAACATCTGAAAATTAAAATGATTAAAAACCCTGAAGTATGGGAAAGGCTTGAAGAACCAATAAGTTTTGAATCAGTGTAAATGAGTTGGAATTTGTTTGAAAGAACTGAATAATGTATTAAGAGTAAAAAATATTTAAAACTGGAAAATTAAAAGGTTACAAATCTGGAAGAAAAAGACGTTTGAAGAATCAAAACGGTTTACATCAGTTTGAAGGAAATAAATTAGTTTGAAGAACTAAATAATGCATTTTCAATGAATGATTGAAAAATGGGGACAATGTAAATGAATAAAAATCCTGATTAGACCCCATAATGTCCTCAATGAGCTGAATTTATTAAGCCCTGGATGGTTTCTGTAGCTCAAGGTTTGTGCGAAGAGATAGATGACAAATTTCGTCAAATAACGCTATTGAAGGGTTTTAAATGTCACCCCCAGTACTCTGTGTACTGAGCCTGGCTTCATGTGTCTCATATGGCTGTTAGAAGCAGCT